TAGTCGGAGGCACTCCATTGCATCCATCTTCGTTGCATTCAAGTGAAACCAGCCACCTTCATGAGTGCAAGGGGGACATAACACAAGAAGATCAGGTGGAGAATCTTTGAGTTCTTGTTTCAGCTTCTTACGGTTTTCTGCTATGGAAAGATCAACACCTAAGGTCAAGTCAATGTCAATGGATTTGGCGGAGAAACCTCGGGATTTGGCCACTGGAGCAAAACGTGGCGGTGAAAACACTTCTACCACGAGTGGCCTAGCAGCAGGGTCCGTTTGGACTGCATCGCACGCTCGAATCTGGGCCTTCACTTGTCGGCACTGATGTTCACTAAGGAACGGCGGTTCATCACTATTCAGGTCACCTGACACATGCTGTGGCACTCGAAAATGAAATTCTGTCAAAGTAGCCTCAACATCACTAGGCAAGGCATGGTTTTTTCTGGCGCATGTATAGGGAGTTACTGATTCATCAAACAGGATCTTACGATTCTTGCGTTTCCGTACAACTCTGCGACAAAGATATTTCCAGAGCCTATCTTTCTTTTGACAAGTTGGCACAACTTTGGAACCCCAGTCCTCCTGAGTCTTCATGATCACATGGAAGTCATCGGCAGGGACATCAACGGCATGAACGATCGGCTCCTCAGAGGAACTGGATTCCTGGATCTCAACATCAGGATCTGAAACTCGAAAGAAGGTCTCGGCCGTCATGACTTCAACATCGGATCGCTGGTCATCGGCCTGGGTCTTCATCACATTGAGAATGTATTGACCAGCCTCATTTGTCTGCAAAGGAATCGATTTCTGATCAGCAAACGCAGTCATTTGATCATGTTCAAAATCTATCTTGGCTTGGATCGTCCGCAAGGCTGGACGGGAAATCAACAGGGGAGCTGTTCCTTGGACCAGTGCTGCTTTGATGGTACCCTTACGACCAGCTATGTACACTGGCAAACGAACACTCTGAGTGGAAACTTCTTGTTCTCCGTTGCCATATCGAAAGTGATTGATCTCAGGAAACGGAACAGGAACAGAGACCTGCTGATTCTGCCACATCTTGGAAAACTGCTCAAACGTTTTGATACCTATGATTGAACGACCACAGCCGGAGTCCAAAACTCCAAAACCTGGTGAAGAGACAAGAAGTGTCTCTGATGGCAGGGCTTCAGTCTTCGGTGGTTCGAGAAGAGCATCAGCATGAGCAGCAGCACGATTGCGCAACCGATCTAACAGTGTCAACGTTGGAGACACCATTGCCACAAAATGTACATCATCATTATCACACTGAGCTGCACAAGCTTCTACCAGAGCGGCACCAGTTGACGGTGGGTGAGATTTGGTTGACCCTTTACCAGAGCTTTTCCCTTTCGAGGGACATTCACGAGCCCAATGGCCCAATTGTTGACATCTGTTACATCGAGATTTCTTTTTGATCTCTTCGATTTCAACTCTGAATTGTCTTTTCATCTCCTTCACCTGTTGAAACTTTCGTGCCTTCTGAAGCCTATTGATCTCAGCTCTGCGCTCTTTCCAGGAAATTGCAAGAACCTCGGCAACTTCTGACTCTGGGAACTCTTCTGGATCCAAAGACTCAGGCACTGATTGCCCATGTTCTGCTAAGAAAAGCTCTATGTCATGAAATTCAATCTCCGGATCAGATTCAACACCAGTCTCAAGTTCTTCAACGGCATGAACTGCAGTTGCCCTTTTTGACAAGGTCATATCCGGAAAACATGATCTCAAAGCCTTCCCAATTTCCTCTCGTTTAAGATTTCCATTGCATCTAGCCAGGACCACCGCCTTCTCCTGCTCTGTCAAGCCACATCGATTGAGAATCAACCAACCACGACATTCTTCCGGAAAAGAGATACCAGTTTTGCGGTTCAGCCTATCAAACAGTTCAGATGATCGTCCGATCCAACCTTTCAGCGTCTCTCCAGAATTGTTGCGAAGCTGGAAAATCTCATTCATCATTTCACCTAACTCGTCAGTCTTGTCCTTGTCAGGAAAACGTGTGTCGAGCAGTTGAAATAACGTCTGGTCACCACCCTCCTTCTGATATTCTGCAGGAGGAAGATGTTCTACACACTCCAAGGCTTTTCCTGTGAGCAGGGTGTATACATATGGTCCTGCAGCTCCCGTCGGAAGCTTGTCCATCGTCAGAATCTTGTTCTTGACCCAGTTCTTCCACCTTCGATACTCCTGAGCATCTTCGGTATCTCCAGAGAAATAGCGGTGGGAACCACCAGTCTCAAGAGACGAAGCCGCCATGGCTGCTGTCTGGATTCCACCGTGGAATCACCGCGGGTGACCGCACCTAAATGTGGGAGCCCGGTTTCACCGGGCTCCGCTACCAATATGGTTGCGGAAGCCCTCCCAAGGGCACGCACGGGCACAACCTTTTCCCTCGAGCATGGAAATGTTCCCTAGGTCGGCAAGCTGAGCAGTTGTCACACTGATAAGAACAGATGGAACTGATTGGCTGCTGGCTGAATTCACATATATATATATATAGATATATATATATATATATTTATATATGTCCCCCCTGAAAATCAATGGGGAATATATATATATATATATATACAGATGCATGTATATACATGCATGTGTGTGTGTGGGGATATTATGATGGATGCTTCCCCAGATTTTTGAAACCAACCATAGGGCGATTCTTGATGGGACACAACAGCAACCAGTAGATCCAGTAGTTAATTGGTCACACGTCAATATGGAACATGACGATCAACCGCAAAAAAATGCTGGTATCCTATCCCATTTTCAGACTAAATGCGGTCAGGCTTCTATTTCCCATTGTTTAACCTATGCCCATTCGGCTTGGTGGTTTAAATGATGCTTGCTTTCCGTTTCTTCTTGGGATGAGCACCCAACATAAAAATGAGATGAATTGACTCCAGAATATCCCTGGAAGGCATGAATTTCGCCGACATTGAGGGGTTGAGCGTTGGCCTAACCATCACCTTCACTTTAGGTGAGACTCAGCTGTGTGTTTCATGCCACCAAGCAGATGGTGTCCCCCTTATGATCCCCAACTTAGATTAATGCACTGTCAATAATTAAAAGTGTAGCGAAATAGATGCTGCAGAGTCCAGAGTATGCATATAACCATGGATCCAGCCGCAACACGCAAGTTCATACGAACACATTGATGACGGATTATGAACCGCCGTTTGAACGGCCTGTTTGAACGCGATTTTTCAGCCATGTTTGCGAGAAAATATGGTGGTCTTATTGGGGGTTAAGACATTCATGAGGCCTAGGGTGGTAATCATCACCAACGACGCCCGGTGGGGAGCCTCAGAATGTGTGGAGACGCGCTATCCCTCCAACGTCATGGGTGATTCTCAGCGTCTATGTTTTTTTTCTCCGTTTGGGGATTGTACAATGCATATGGAACTCCCTTATATACATATATATATATAACCCAATATAATGTAACATAGTGTAATATGATAAAATATAATACAATATATATATATATACATATATTTACTTTTGTGGACATGGGTATTGAACATTCAAACGATTGAATGTTGTATCCACAAGTTAGTTGGCTTCGACACTTTCACCAACCAAAACCAGTATATGGATTTGACAAAGCAGCATGGGATCATGGTTTGCTCCTAAAGCTGTACTAAACGAAGGTGATGACCCACACGCCTAAACACACCAAACTGTGACTGTGTGGAAGGTGTGCCCCTGTAGCCTTGATGGTCATGCCCAATTCACTGACCAAATTCAACATCAAAGGGTGTTGGAAGGTGCGTTGGTATTTTTCAATGTTCAGCGTGAGAATCCCCAAAGGTATCCGAAGTGGTGAGTAGGCGGGACCAAACAATTGCGGCCAGTATGACCCATGAACCGGCTACTTAATACGTTCAACGCCATTCAAAGATGAATGTGTTTAGATGAACGGTTCAATGTTTCATTGCCAAACTAGCGGTACATCTTCCCATGGTAGTTGGTATGACCTGCAAATCCAGCATGTTGAACACCTGATTTTGCGGTTGAACTAGCTGGATATAGATGTTTCCTGGTTTTTTCCCGGTTGTTTCTGATGTTGGTTTGCTTTTGTTCTTTTAAACAGTAATTTCTTATATAAACATGGTTCATTTTTTTTGGTTTACTCAGGGCGATCACGTTGGCGATTTTGACCCAGCAATGCAGATTCGGCGGTGGGTAACCGGGTAAACCTACGGATATCAGCCGCTCTCTCTCTCTCTCTATATATATATATATTGTACATTATTGTACTACAAACTTGCATCACATACATGTAATAGAAATACACATATAGATATACATTATTGAAATGTTGGCTCAACCAACCAACTAGTAGACTACTGGTTCGATGATAAAACTTCTGTTTTTTTTGCTACAAGCTGGACAAAGTCGAGGCAAAGAATCATGCAGGCTGCGTTTGGGCGGCGGCTGGAAAATCCCTGAACTAAATGGAGGTTTATAGCTGGGAAAATCATCGAACAAAATGGTGGGTTTCCAGCGAGCCACGTTGGCTTACCAGAGGGGAACTGATTACTTGGTGGTTTGGGTTGGTGGTGTCGATTACTGGGCATACACCCTAATCCCGGGAATCCAAAGCATCCAAACCACCAACTAATCATTGGTTGATTTGTGGCTTTCTGATATCTTCTGCAGATGCTCCAAATAATCCGAATTGTTCACATGGGCATGGCTCAAGATTAAAGGCCTAGGGACCGCAGATTAAGATCATTTTTAGCATCAACCATCCAATTTGAGGGTGCCACTATTCTTGGATTCCGGTGTCCCAACACTACCATTTGTGTCCCTGGAAGGCAAAAATCCAGTTATCCTCACTGTTCAGTCAACAGCAACCTGTAATGCATGCACTCTTCACAGTGATGGTGGTAGTCCAAAGCCCTATGATTTCCCAAGATTACTTGCTGGCGCCTCGTGTGTGTCGCAGGTGTTTTCTGCCGCGCGGGAGTTTAAAACGCCAGATGCCCAGCAGATACCCAGCAGATCAGCAGATGCCCAGTGTTTTTTGTTAGTTGTGTTGGGGATGGATGTGGGGATGGACCAAACCTATACCAATCCCAGCTATTCTGGGGTGAACAGAAGGGCAGTTTTGACGCATTCCCATTATGCGTCCACATGTAGCCTCTCATGAAGGAAATCATGCCACCTCAGCAAGGACAAGCCACCAACCCAAACCACCAGTCGTTGTTTGCTTCAACCAGCATGCTTTCCACATTTTTCTACGATCCGCTGGCTCAGGAAATTTGCATTTTTGGGTTATAGCATTTGAGTGTGGGTTGGTATGGGGTCAATGTACGCTTTGTGGCTGGACTTGGGGTTCTCAAGTGCGAACCAAGTGGCCCAGGCATCGGGCCTTTTTTGTAACAAGAACTATCAGGTCTTGTTCTCCCTATTTGTGGTGATGTTTCAATCTTCATTTTTCTTCGATGGAATCTACGTAATTATTTGGAAGACTGTTTTTTTTGGTGATGGCATGTGCATTTGTATTGGTGAAATCTTCATGTTTGGTGGTGACATATCCATTAGTAAATCCCCAGGCATCACTTTGCTCAAGTGGGAACGCAGCGCTGGGCCATTGATCGCTTTAAGGTGCAAATGTCTGCGCTGCTTGGGATTTGTGTGGAGAAAGATAACATAAACTCTGTTTGGCTTGTGTCCTGTCAAACAATTAGGCCTTGCCCACAGGTGTGCTGGCCATTATATTAATTGATATGTTTTTTTTCTATATTTTTATCTACATGGAAAAATGTTTTTCATCGCAAATGGAAGCCATGTCCCATTTAGTTCAATGATTTACCTCCTGAAAATGGTGACTTTCCAGTTCGCAAAGTGACCAGAGGGATCCAGAGAGTATTCATCATTGTGGTTAAAGTTAAATCATCAGTTTTGCTGGTTAAAGTTTTAAAAGTTAAAAATGATTGAACCAAAAAAACCGTCAAATCATCATTTCAGTGGGATCAAAGTTACAAAAATTCCATGAGATCAGCAATTGGTGTTGCTTAAAAATCCCACTGAAATCCCCCCCCCTTGAATCCCGAAACAATCCCGGGATCCCTTCAGGTGCGCCGCATCCCAGCCTATGTGATCGTGGACCCCGCTACGCGGCAGGTGCGATGAAGCCGATGAAAAAAAAGTGCTCGAATGAGTGGTGGTCGAACCAAGAGAAATGTGCATTTAACATCATTTAACCAACAACAAATTGTGATTCAATAGGATTTAACCACCAAAAAAATGTGATTTAATAGGATTATATAATCTACAAACATGCATTTAAATGGATGTAACCAACACCGTGGGAATTTACTGTGATTTAGCCAAGAAAACTTGGGATAATGGATTGAACACAAATTGGTGACTCAATGGGATTTAACCAACACAAATGTGGATTTAAGCATGACAAGACTGTGATTTCATGGGATTAATGGGAATTTAGTGAATGCTAAGGGGATTTGATGCAATTCAATGGAACCTGAACTCTTTCATGGTGGTTTAGCTGGATTTCACTGACTGATCCCGTCCCCCGTTTTCACAATCACCCCCAGAAACCGTGGTGGATGCAGGAATGGGAGCACATTCCATTGATGGACTTACAAAAATGTCGGCAAATAGGTAATGTGTACTATTAGCAATATCTAGCACTTGGGCATCACTTTACTGAAGCTTCCAGCCAGCTGTGAATCACCTTTCACGGAAGAACTTGAGTGGCATTGTTTCTCATAAACCTTCACATGTGGTAATGCTTGGCATGGGATGTAGCTGAAAGTAATCATTTCCAAGATCCGAAGATCGCAGTGTCTCGGGCCGATCCCCAGGGCTTTCACGCTCAGCCGCAAATTCTTCATAGCCACCTGGCAGCAGTCCATGAGAGAGCATGGTCGCATCCTCATCATCGCAACATTATTTAGTAATACACAATAATACCAACAATAGAATCACTATCACATATAGTCACATAGTCATATATCATATCATTAATTCAGGTTAATTCATATGAGTTCTACTGTGGATGGAAGAAATCCTGCACCACCTTGGATGGTTGAAACCCTGTAAATCATGGGATAAACATTGATAAAGCGTCATCTGAATGAAGGATTTCTTCATCCAACATCTGCAGCCCCAGGTTTCGCTAGCTTCAAGCAGCAGCTGACGGATGCCAAGTGGGGGGATCCCGGGACAAGAAACGCCTGGAGATTGATGGAGGTAGATGGCAAATTAAGGGCGAGATATGGCCAAATATGGCAAAAGTTGTGGTAAAATATGGTAAACGAACATGGTAACATAGCGTATATTTACATATGTTTATGTCATGTTTGGATATGTTTGGTAGTTCGATGGTATCTGACTGATGTCTTTAAACATTGTTTGTTATGATTTTACGTGCCGAACGTGAGATGATGACCCTCCTACACAAACACATAGCTCCTAGCCGTCCCTAAGATGCTTTGACCTACTTTGCATCCACACTTGATTTCAGAAGTCCACCAATAATCCGCACTGAGTGAGCACCCTGTGTTGGAGAGTCATGATACGTGTAGCGGATATACCACCTACTATTGTCCAAGACAATCAGCATTTCTTATCCTTTCTTCAGACCTTTAGCGCGCTTGGCACATCTTGGGGCACATCTTGGCACGCTCCCCCGGAAGGTTCTTACCGGAACTGAACCGCGAGTCCTTCAAAGAACGTTGTCGCGGAGAATGGTCCGGCGGATGCGTCCGGGGCGCCTGGAGTTGGTTCCACCATCGGATCCACCATATTATATTTACCATCCATAGGCCTTACATAGGCCTGAAAAATAGGCCTTATATATATGATATGGTAGGTACCTCCAATTAATCGGTTCCTGAAATGGCCATTGACATATGTTAGTGGGATTGAAATGATTGAAACCATCAGATGTCTGGCTTATGACATTGTTTTAACGACCCAGGGGATTATCCCTATATTTCTCTCTCTGGCCAGGTAGATGATACAAAAACGATGGTTCCCACATAGCCATCATCTACAATTAAGAGGCCATCCATGTCCAACAAAAGTGAGTCAATCCTTGGTTTGGCGATTCACAGTTTGATAACTGTGAAGCATGAAAGTGTCCTGATTTGGCTGGCAGTTTGAACTGTTAGATTGCTACGTCAGCAATGGATAGCAATGATGATGTCACGTTTAAACTCAGGTCGAACCATTGTATCACTGCAACCGGTATTTTCTGCGTGGAACCATTGTGATGGAACCAGCAATACAAAGGTGGATAGCTGCTTAGCGGTGCAATTTCTAGTGTCCATCCTTATGACTTATGACTTATGACAAAGGCAATTATTCAGTTGTTCAGGTCTATTAGAGGGTGCGGTTGCGCCTTCCAACTTCTATTGCCCATATTACCATAAGCCCTGCACAAAGAATGCGCCCGCACTGGATGGTGAAACTGGACATACCCGCTGGTAGTCAAACATGGCAATGGAAAATCCACCATTTGTTGTGGATTGTTGCATTAACACATATTCAAAGTTCCATTTATTTTATCGTAGTGGATTTTGAATTGCCATTTTTGATTGCCTTAGGGTATTTATTCGGCAGTGCCCAGCTGCTCAGCTTGGGATCCCGGATCCCAAGCTTTCCTCGCAAGTGCCCGATCTAGCCCAGATCTTACTGGGGATGCAGTTGAGGTTTAAAATCATACTGATTATGCAATGTGGGGCCCGCCAGTTATAAGTTGGTTGCTAAACTCCATTGACTATAGTTAAACCATAGTTATTGGAGTTATAATATCACCAACTTAGCGATTTCGTTTACGGGGGCCCCACATAAGCTCCATAAGTTGCGATGTAACCCCTGCGGCCCTATGACTATGGTGAAATCCACGGGAAAGAAATGGCTTTGAAAGATGATGATCCTTGATAATCGAGGATTGATAGATGGATACCCCCTTCATTCAGAACTTTTTTTCGTGAGATGTACTGTATTAGATATATAATCTGGGTCATAGCTATCAAGTCTAACTTTCGTTGGATACATCCCTTTGCAGTTTCAACATGTTCGGGTTTCAAATTGTGTTTCCTTTCCCGTTTGCGCGCCATTCATTTGGATCCAGTGTGGAATTGATTTGTGTATGACTCTGTGGTGAATTCCAAAAAAGGAAGTGAACTTCAGGATGTACTGCACTCTTCACTAATCAAAACCCATCAAATGGACAATTTCCACGTTTTATCAGGTCAATCATCTACATGTGTGTGATTTTCCATTTGCCATGTTTGATTCGCAGATGCCAGACCCCGCCTAGATCATTCATTGTGCTTGGCGATATGCGCCGTTTGGGTCCAATTCGTGCGATCAATTTTCGATGGGCACTGCAAGGGGATTTCCCAGCTACCCATCTGGTTGGTGGTTTGGAACATGAATTTTATTTGTCCATATATTGGGAATAATGATCCCAACTGACGAAGTCATATTTTTCAGAGGGGTAGGTATACCACCAACCAGAAAATCACCGGTGATAGTGCTCGCTTCCCAGTCTGTCTGCAGGCCTGGGCAGCAGTGTTCTTGGTGCCTCCCGATGCCCTTGGCAAGGCCGCTGATCAAACCCATCGACCGCGTGTGATCATCACATTTGGGTACAAGAAACCATCAACCAGCTGTGGTTGGAAGTTACCTTGTTGCAGAATCACTACATACTCACGTCGGACCAGTAAAAGATTTTTTAGCAAAAAGAAACGACCAAAAAACCTAGAGTGGTGGGTTCCCAGCGCCTGTATCATATGGGAAACTCTTAGCTCTTCGGCTCCCCATTTACTGGGGGGAATATGGATACCGCTCCCAACAGCTCACTCCAAACCATTTGCTCAAAAAATGGCCATTATCCAAAACTAAGAGAAGTGCATGTCGGCCATCCCGGCTTCACATGTCCAACATGATTCCACAGATATTGTCGGCAAGATCGTTAGGATTTGTTTCTTACACAGAACCCTTAGTAGATGTCCCGGTTGGTGGTTTGGAACATGAATTTTATTCCATTCAGTTGGGAGTTTCATCGTCCCAACTGACAAAGTCATATTTTTCAGAGGGGCAGGTACACCACCAACCAGTGTCACTGGGTTTCCTCAGATACTCAATGAGTATTTCAGGATCCAAAAATGGAGGTACTGTACCATATAAGGCCATATTTTGTGTGGATATTCCCCTACATAAGCCTGAAAAATAGGCCTTATATATGGTAGGTACCTCCAATTAATCGGTTCCTGGCCAGCATGGCCATTGAGTTACTGGACAGCCTCAGGATGACCAAGTCAGAAGAGCCTTGAGAAATTTTCGCGAGGCCGAGCTCAGCGGAAAAGCCGCTTCCCCATTTGGGGAGGCTTTAACTGAGCGAAAGTGCTGAAAGAATTACCCGGCCTGATAAACGTTTACATAACTATGGAAAATCACCATTTTTAATGGGAAAACTCACTATAAATGGCAATTTTCAATATAGCTATGTTAGTTTACCAGAGGATACCATGAAATACCAACACCTCCAACTATGTTAAAGTGCTGAAATACCAGCCTATCCAAAGATGAAACTTGAGACGTGTATTGTATCAGTCAAAAATGGGCCCTTTGGAACCCCAATGTCAATGTTATGGCCTGGCCTGCAAGACCGACAATTGGCATCTTATTTGCAGATGAACTTCTTACATCCCGGTGACGCAGAAGTGCTTGGTTTGTTTGGGGCGTGGGCGTCACCAGCCAGGCATGCAAGAGAGTTAGGACCCCAGCCTGCGGATGATTATCCCTCACTGCTAGATGAGATATATCATGATCACGTTCCATGTTAAGTCTTGATGAGTTTTGGAAAGGCTTGACACAATACCAATCCAAGACACAAATCCAATCCCTTCTTCAATCATATTCATCCACACTTAATTTCCTAGAACATCACCATTTTCTATAGGACATATCGGTAAATCATCGAAAACAAATGGGCTATTCTTAATCCATGTTCCACATCTACGACAGTGCGCCCCCATCTGTACTTCTCCATCGCCAAGGTGGAGGAGCACGTCGGTGCCGGGGTGCAGTTCGGAATCCAAAGATGAAGAGACGCGGCGCTTGCTGCACTTGCTGGAAAAAAACATTGTTTTTTTTTCTCCTCTCCCCGTGTCAAGAGACCCTTGTCTAAGTTGGATAGTTACAATAAGTTGACAATAAGTAGAATAACTATGAATAACTAGGGTCTTGGGTTTATTGTGATGATAGCTATATATGAAGCCAACAATGTTGACAATTCCCCCATTTGAGGATTTGGATTGAAGACGCTTTTCACCAGCAACATTTGCAATAATCAATTCTGTGTCATGTCCTGTTCGCATCCAATAACTAACATCAAAAAAATGAAAACATTGTGACATAACTGTCATAACTATCATAACATCTACTACATCCTTTGCCACACGGCTGTTTGGTCATTTCATGTTTTTTTCCACCCTAGAAACGGGATGGTGATCCTCAATGAGCATTCTGGCGTCAAATTGATCAAGAGTTGGATTTTATCATCTGGGCAAATAACGACCTCACGTCGCGACCGAAGCCTGAAATCATGGTTTAGATCTAGGGGAATTATCCCAAGAAAGCCCCAGATATAGTCACTGGTTGGTGGTTTGGAACAGTTTTTATTTTTCCTTATATTGGGAATGTCATGATCCCAACTGACGAGTTGTCATATTTTTCAGAGGGTTTGGGCTCAACCACCAACCAGTCATTTTTGGGGGAATGGGGAATCAATCCATACGGATTTCTATACTGATGTTTGGATTCCCATTGATGGATGGTTCTGATGCCCACATCAAGTTGGTGATCTATATATCCTAATGAATTCCCATATCTACATCCCATTGTGGCTGGTTTTTCCTGAAAAAAATGCCATGCATATGTTTACGGTATACTGATACGTTTGGTAACCCAGCTTGCCATTTTTGATTACTGGAGGGTATATAATTCTATATTTTTCTATATATTCTATATATATAATGAATATATATATATATACTGTATATATATATTGTTGGTTACCCCATTAACCCCATGCAACTTTGACCATGATGGCACCATGTTTTAAGTTGAAACCCCACAATGCCGGGCTCCAAGGTGCTTTTGGTTGCGCTTGGCGACCTCGGCTTCAGCCCTGAGTCAAGCGTCCGGACGCCTAAGCGGTTACCCGAATTGGCAAACGAACAGTTTGCTATTGAAAATGGCTTATTTATAGATGATTTATGATGATTTACCGGAAATTCATGATGATTTATGTTGAGAATGGTGATTGATTGTTGATTTACCCATTATAAAGCTGTTTATTTGCCATAGTTTTATTGTATGTTTACCAGAGGGTCTTTTCAGGACTATGTGTTTAATGTTAAATGACCCGGGGGGTAAGGTGCCTTCTTCGTAACTTTAATATGGCAGTTAATTGCAAAAGGCTGGCAGGATTTGCTTGCTAAACATTGCCATGCGCCTCGGGACATGTATGTGTCGACCCGTTGGATTTGAAGGGTGCATGATTTTTGGGCTCAACATGAATGGTAGATGAAAACCGGAACATATAAAACATCCTATGAGGATATGATTTACTACTTGGTGTGGGTTTTATAAACCTTGCGCCCTTGGTTTCATGAATTGACGTGCCAGGTTCAATTGCCACAATTGCCATTTCAGACCAGAAATCATTTGTCCAATGATTTTTTTTGAGAGATAGTGCATACTGTACCATTTGAAACCAGGATAAACCAGATGTGTTTTGTTTGGAGACCGCATATTTTGGATGGCGAGTGACATGGAAAACGACATGGGGAACTCACAGGAAACCAAGTTTAGCCATGACGGATCCATGGTGCTGGTAGAAAAATGCTAACATGACTGGGGTATATTGATGGTAAATGTTAGCATATATATATATATACCATACATGGATCCTACGGGTTTACACACTGTTTCACAAAAATTTGGCCAAAGATTAGGAATTTTATCCAAGGTGGAACTTAGAACCAAACTGCTTCACAAAAATGTTTACAGTGTTCCATCAACTGCAAACACTTGTGGATTTCTTCGACCATGGCGCCGCTGTGCGTGGAGTTGAAGATGTTGAGCGGTGCAACTGTGTCTTCGATGGCAGCGGTCGATGGCGGGTGAATGGGAGACCAACCTGTGGCAAGTTTCCAAGTGCAAAATGATGCTATACCATGCTATACCAACTGAATTTTAGTTCCCATGTTGAAACAGCTACAAGTGAGTATGGCGTGGTTCTGAATTTCAGGCCTTTAACGGACTGATTTCTTGCAGTATGAATCATTCGTTTCTTGGTCTCTTTCAAGTTGGATGAGGTCGGAATTGACGTGGCGTCCATGGATGTTTTTTATCCGGAGCTAGGTGCATTTTTGGTGCGTAACTACGTAACTAAGGTGGGCTCCCCGCCGCCCTTGTCTATCTAAGTTGGTTGATAAGTAGCTTAGGATGTATCTACCAAGCGATGAATTGGGCTCCTGGATCCTGCTAGAAGGCTGGCACCCCCAGTTATAAAATGGTTTATATTTTATAAACCCATTAACTATACAATATATGTTCCACAAATCCATCAGTGAACCTCAACTAAACCATCTGGCTCACTAAATCTATTAACATCGCATGACATCCCGATATAACATTATATAACTATATATATATAGTTCACCTCCCTTACCAGCCTTAGCAATCGATACTTTGGGGCAGGTCTGCTTGGAGGTCGAGGAGACCAGCTCCGTGCATCACTTGAAGTCGGAGTTCTTCCAGCTCCGTGGGATCCCCACGGATTGCCTGGAGCTTTGTCTGGAAGGCCAGGCGCTGGTGGGTGTGGCATGCGGGGGATGGTGCCAGGGGTCGGCTTGATGAGGGAAAACGCGATCTCAAGCAAGAGGTCAAGCCGGATGATTGGTAGGTACCAGGTAGAGGAGATCATCCCACGTTAGAAATCGAATCCAATCCAATCCATCCAATGTTGACTGCTGCTGCCAGCTCCCATGCCCTCAAAACAGCTCCACAACAAAGTCCTAGCGGGCGGTTGCGAAACAGCGAAACACCATGGCCCTGAAGGACGGAACGACCTCCAAATCAATCGCAAGAACAAGTTCCCTGGAGGCCGGAACGTCCCTTCTGAAATCCTACTAGAAATCCTCTCTAATCCTGCTATCCCTTATCCTGCTATCCTGCTAGAAATCGAATCCAATCCAATCCATCCAATGTTGACTGCTGCTGCCAGCTCCCATGCCCTCAAAACAGCTCCACAACGAAGTCCTAGCGAGCGGTTGCGAAACAGCAAAACACCATGGCCCTGAAGGACGGAACGACCTCCAAATCAATCGCAAGAACAAGTGAGCCACGTTCAAAACTGCCGGCAATTGATTTTAGTATTCGGTGGAATTTATTCTTTAAAAGATTGAATGGCGTCACGCGCGCGCAAGCTTTTCACAAGCTTCGCGCAAGCTCATGTACGCGCAAGCTTCGCGCAAGCCCGAAATCACGTAGATAATTGAAACAGAAATGAATGAATATACAACGAAAAGGGTTACACAACATAATGGGACGAGACGAGATGGGTGACGAGTTCCGTTGCTTCCTTGTTGCATTGTTTGCTTGGTATGTCGGCCCTCTGGCTTGCAAAGGTATAGTCAGTTTAAGCAAACAAGACTTTGAATGGATGTCATGGATTTTGAATGGTAGTAGGCCATGGAGGCAACTGTTGCGTGTAATTTTGACCCTTGACGATTTCACACATCCTGAATTTTGCGCAAGGTTCGCGCAAGCAAAGGGGTTCCTGGCCACTATGCCCCACAGAAACCGGTAGCAATATGATCGTAGACTCACCATATTGGCTACATTTTGCTACTATGCTCTTTCTGAGCGGGACACTAAGCAAAACCACTGCACGGACTGGGAGCCATGCCACTGTACTGATTGTACCCTGGCTCAAGGCCATACACTCACTGGAGGCATTCAGGGACTACACTGCTGGCAAAATAGGAACTGCGTTGATTGGAGCCTAGAAGTCGAGAAGCCACCGGACAAGCCAAGAAGTCGAGAAGCTGAGAAACAACCGAGCGAGCCGAGAATCTGAGAAGCCAAGAAGCCCAAGTCGGAAATCAGCTTCGTGCCTGCATCGCCCAAGCAAAAATGCACCAAATCTCAGGAATTCATCTTCGCGCAAGGTCGCGCAAGCTCAGTTTGAAAAATTGACCGCGCGCAAGCTCCCATTGTGGTCGCGCAAGGATGGCGCAAGGATTTCGCGCAAGGATGAATAATTTCCATTCAGTTTTATATTAAATTTAACGAGCTCCTGGGATTTTGTGATTTTTAGGGAATATTGAATATCAAGGTCAAGATGCAATATTTGGTGCAGTGTACGCGCACAAGGGTGGCACCAAAAAACTTAAGCGTCATGGTTTGCACGGGTTTGCACTGGATCAGCCTTCCATAAATGAAATTGGTCTAATTAATCGTTCAGAAAAAATGAAACGGTCGGAAACGGTCGGAAACAGTCGGAAACGGTCGGAAACGGTCGGAAACATGATCAGGCCAAAACTTGTCCAACCCGCATTTTTTTTTAAAATAAGCATTTCCGCGCAACGCCTTTTTTTTTTGAAGGTCCAAAGGTGTCCAAGGGGAAACGGTTGGAAACAGTCGGAGATCGCACCTTCGCTCGGCAAAAAAGTAGTTGTTTTGTAGCATATGTTCATGAAACATGTTTGAACATTGTGTAAAAACATGCCTTTTTTGCCGAGCGAAGGTGCGATCTCCGACTGTTTCCAACCGTTTCCCCTTGGACACCTTTGGACCTTCAAAAAAAAAAGGCGTTGCGCGGAAAGGATTATTTTAAAAAAATGCGGGTTGAACAAGTTTTGGCCTGATCATGTTCCGACCGTTTCCGACCGTTTCCGACTGTTTCCGACCGTTTCCGACCGTTTCATTTTTTCTGAACGATTAATTAGACCAATTTCATTTATGGAAGGCTGATCCAGTGCAAACCCGTGCAAACCATGACGCTTAAGTTTTTTGGTGCCACCCTTGTGCGCGTACACTGCACCAAATAATGCATCTTGACCTTGATATCCAATATTCCCTAAAAATCACAAAATCCCAGGAGCTCGTGAAATTTAATACAGTTTTAATTGAAGTTTTGAACACCGCTCAAGTTCCCTGGAGGCCGGAACGTCCCTTCTGAAATCCTACTAGAAATCCTCTCTTATCCTGCTATCGTGCTAGAATCCTCTTATCCTGCTATCCGACTAGAAATCTAATCCAATCCAATCCACTTTTGATTGCTGCTGCTGCTGCTGGTGGCTGTTCAAGCAAGAATCCAACAGGCAGACACCTTTTTCGAAACACAGCTGAAACGGCAAAACACCACCTAATTTCGTGCCGAAAATGACGCAAAATCAATCGCAAGAACAAGTTCCCTGGAGGCCGGAACGTCCCTTCTGAAATCCTACTAGAAATCCTCTCTAATCCTGCTATCCCTTATCCTGCTATCCTGCTAGAAATCGAATCCAATCCAATCCATCCAATGTTGACTGCTGCTGCTGCTTGCGTACTGCTGGCTACTGCTGCTGCTGACTAGAAATCCTGTCTTATCTTCTCTTATCCTCTCTTATATCCTCTCTTATCAAGAACAAGTTCCCTGGAGGCCGGAACGTCCCTTCTGAAATCCTACTAGAAAACCTCTCTAATCCTGCTATCCCTCATCCTGCTATCCTGCTAGAAATCGAATCCAATCCAATCCATCCAATATTGACTGCTGCTGCGAGCTCCCATGCCCTCAAAACAGCTCCACAACGAAGTCCTACGGGTGGTTGCGAAACAGCAAAGCACCATGGCCCTGAAGGACGGAACGACCTCCAAATCAATCGCAAGAACAAGTTCCCTGGAGACCGCTGCTGCTGCTGGTGGCTGTTCAAGCAAGAAACCAACAGGCAGACACCTTTTTCGAAACACAGCCGAAACGGCAAAACACCACCTAATTTCGCGCCGAAAAGGACGCAAAATCAATCGCAAGAACAAGTTCCCTGGAGGCCGGAACGTCCCTTCTGAAATCCTACTAGAAATGCTCTCTATCCTGCTATCGTGCTAGAATCCTCTCTTATCCTGCTATCCGACTAGAAATCTAATCCAATCCAATCCAATTTTGATTGCTGCTGCTGCTGGTGGCTGCTCAAGAAAGAAACCAACAGGCAGACACCTTTTTCGAAACACAGCCGAAACGGCAAAACACCACCTAATTTCGTGCCGAAAATGACGCAAAATCAATCGCAAGAACAAGTTCCCTGGAGGCCGGAACGTCCCTTCTGAAATCCTACTAGAAATCCTCTCTAATCCTGCTATCCCTTATCCTGCTATCCTGCTAGAAATCGAATCCAATCCAATTCATCCAATGTTGACTGCTGCTGCTGCCTGCGTACTGCTGGCTACTGCTGCTGCTGCTGACTAGAAATCCTGTCTTATCTTCGCTTATCCTCTCTTATATCCTCTCTTATCTTGATCGAAATCTAATTCAATCCAATCCAATTTTGACTGCTGCTGCTGCTGGTGGCTGCTGGTGGCTGCTGATGGCTGCTGATGGCTGCTGCTGCTGCCGCTACTGCTGCTGCTGCTACTGGTGCTGCTGCTGGTCAAAGAAACTAACAATCAGACATTTTTTTCGAAACGCAGCCGAAACGGCAAAACACTACCTAATTTCGTGCCGAAAATGACGCAAAATCAATCGCAAGAACAGGTTCCCTGGAGGCCGGAACGTCCCTTCTGAAATCCTACCAAAAACTTTTTCTTATCTTTCTATATCCTGCTAGAAATCTAGAAATTTATCTCCAATCCAATTCAATCCAATCCAATGTTGACTGCTGCTGCTGCTGCCTGCGTACTGCTGGCTACTGGCTGCTGCTCGTTAGCTGGTGCCGCTGCTCTTACTGCTAGTGCTGGACTCTCTGCTGCCGCTGCTACTGCCACTGCCGCTACTCTTGCTGCTGGTGCGGCTAAACTTGCTTGTCTTATTCCCTGGCGCGCTCCCCCTGCGCGCCAGGGAAGGCGGATATTCCCCAAATGGTCATTTCCATAGGGATCGTCCTACCAATCGTTGATGTTTGCAGTTTTCAAAGTCAAGTCGCCTCAAGATCCTCGAGTTTCGGTGACATGGAGTCGATGGCATCGATGACACCAATGACGGCTGCCTGGATGCCAAAGGAGATGATGTCCGAAGACAGCGACGTGTTGCTGGCCGTGTCTCAACTTGCTGCACGAACTCTCTTTGACCCAGCGCCCAAGACCACTGAAGGCGTTGCCGCCATTGTGAAAGTCTTGAAGCCCAAGCTGTATCAGCTCTTTGGGAGTCAGAGTTCCAGTGCACTTAGTGCATTTCTCCTGATTTGGGATGAACAGTTTCAGTTGGCGGCGATGGCAGGCGTTGTTGTGGAGAAGTTGCCGGGAGAGAACTTGCTTCAGGATGAGGTGCCGCGGATTTCCTACTTGGCCGTTGATCCTGATCTCCAAAAGAAAGGCCTGGGCTCAATGCTGGTGCGCCACTGTGAGGATTGGGCGGCAGCCCGCGGTCACAAGGCGATTTGGTTGTTCCACAACAGTGACAAGGAGCGCTTGCACCGCTTCTATTCCAAGATGGGCTATGGAATCGTGAAGCACTGCACTTTAACGGTGCCGATACCAGGCGAGGGCAAGATGGAAGGTACCGTGCAGATGCTGCAGCGGGATGCCACTTTGATGAGGAAACCTCTAATGAAACCTCTTTGAGCCAACCTTCTTGTGCATTTTATGCGGTTTTGATGGAGATCATTCTGAGATCATTCAAATTCGATGACTTTAAACGTCTAGAGCACTATCCCTTTTAAATTTTGGGCGGTCTCGGCCAGATTTTGGCCAGCTGTCAAGCTCGTGTACAAAGACCCTGCACGGACTCAGCAGCCTTTGCTGTGACCATTGGCAAACTGCACGTGCTGCCCGTTGTGTGTGGGTTTTCTTGACCTCACACGGGACATCGCAGGGCAAAAGGACAAAAGGAGGGGTACCATGGGGTACCCTATTTTCAGACAAACAAATGGTCATTTTCGTCATATTCTTTGCGTTGAGTTGTGTATGCTGGGTATCTCCAATACCTGAAACGGCCCCTAACTGCAGGCACAGTGCTGTCGGATTCGCAGCTTCTCCAGTCCTGCGCTGACACTGCTGACCCTGGGCGAATCATGTCGCTGAACGCGATCGTTTGCGTTGATGCGCTGGCGAAGGGCCTAGGTGGCCTGGTGTTTGGAGCCAGGTGGCTAAGTACTTCCTTGGTCTGCGGCGGATGATGCTCTAGATATTGATCCTACCATAGATGATAGATGGGTAACATATACTAAGATATGGTAAAATATCCATGCACGAGAGTTTCCATGGAGGCGTTTGACCACTGCTCGGGACATCAGATGTCCAGAGTATTCAGGATCTGTTCATTGGGAAATTGAAATGCGGTAAGTGTTTTCTACTGGTACAAGTGATTCAAGTACACTGCAGTCTCAAGTGACTCAAGTGCTTGCATCCCGAAATGGAACATATTATATATATATTATATATATATATATTTTTTGAATCACTGACAGATGAGACCCAGCGAAAAGGGATCTAAACAACTCTTTAGACTTGGTTTCAGGAAGAAACATACGGCAATGCTCAGGTATCTCTGGATGATCACCCATGGGTAGACCGGGGTGTTGCAAACCCAAGGTGGCTGCCAAAGTATCAGCAAGACCATCCGTAACTTGGATCTCCTGAGCCAATTCGGCTCCAAAGATGGAGACGTGACACTCGGCAGATGGGCTCCGATTTGTCTTCAATTTTAAACCCAGCACGCCTCACCCAAGATGCCCCATTCCCTACACTTATGGCCCTTTACCACTTACAAGTCAGTAAGTCACCCCATTTATTGAATGATATCCGCACTTATCAACATTTCATAACTGGCATTTTGGGCTTGAACGGTAGACCGTCCTAGGAAACAGATCCTCCTACAGCACGCGCGGCACAAGAACGAGGACATTCGCCGCGCCGCACGACGTGCCCTGTTCCTCGGCTGTCCCGACGCCGAGACGAAGGAGGTCTTTGAAGAGTCCATGGTACCTGAGATCATTGGTGTATCGTTGCTTTTGAAACCCCAACGAATACTATGGACAGAACATACAATATATATATATATATATATACATAGATAGATAGATAGATAGATAGGTAGATAGATACATAGATAGATAGATAGATTGATAGATAGATAGATAGATAGAGAGAGAGATATATATATATAGCTACTGAGCTGGGGCGTTGAACTGCCAAGCTGTCCTTGGCTCGCCTTCAGCAAGATGCTGAACTCCCGGAGAGGGCGATGGAGAGAGAAAGAGAGAGAGAGAGAGTTATGTTCTATGTTTTGGTCTCAAGTTTCAACAAATCCCTTTTCCGGATGCAAAGAGTGCGGTTTGGGCCTTCGAGAAGGCCTGCAACCCACCAAGCCACCTAGGCCCAGGGTGGCCCACTGCTGCTCGATGCCTTGGAATTGATATCTCCCAGTCGCGATGCCACTGCGGTGGCGCGGCTGCTGACGCATGGGCCCGAAGGGTCCCAAGGGCCCGGAGGGCCAGTGCGGCGGGCAGCAGTGAGGGCCATGGGCAGATTGATGCAGGAGATGGGGAAAGGATTCGTAAAGGATGGGAAAGGGTGGAAACCTGACTTTTCAGTGAGGTGTTTCTGGTTTCGTCATTTTGGCTTTACGTTTGAGTTATTCACTTGTGACTTCCAACTTTTGAGGATGGAAGGCCGCTCATGAACATTTGCATGACTTTGCCACAAATTTCCCCGTCCAGTTGGAACCCCTACCAGAGGGTCCAGTCCTATTGGATGATTCCACGGGGGAAGCCTTTGGAACACTCTCTCACACTTCAATAAATCAACCCCTGGTTGAGTACCCACAGCAATGAAGTACCGTTTACCCATCCATATCTCATCAGAATACAACTAACAAAGGGTTTGTCAAATGATCCTGGGATGAAATTTACAATTTATAATAATGAACACCAAAAAAGATAGAACAGCAGTTTATCACGACTTTAGTAGGATTTATAACTTTTTCAGTTTTCTTGGGTTTCTATACCCATTTTGTGTTCCGACGCGAACCCCCCAGCCGTGCAGGAGCCCCGGCATGTGGCGCTGGCAACGCAGATCTTGCGCTCTGCGGTGCTGGATCTGGACGCCAACGTGCGCGAGGAAGCGTTGAAGGCATCCAGCCAGTCTCATCAGTTAGAGTTTGATGAACCATTAGTTCTGGGTAAATTATAACGACCTCACTGCGACCTCACTGGAATCATGGTTAATAAGGGAAATCATCCCCAAATGGCCTTAATTCAGGTTGGTGAATTATTATAATTGACCCAGATTAGTTTTCCCATTTGGATATTTAACATAGCCATGGTATGCCATGGTATAGATGGCCCATAGAAATAGATGGTTTTACATTTAAAAAAATCATGTATGATGTGAACCAAGAGTGCATCAAAATCATCAAACTAACGGTGGATGAACCATTAGAGTTTGATGGTGGATGAACCATTTAGAAAATAAATGGATTTACCCTCTGGTTATTTAACATAGCCATGGTATAGATGACCCATAGAAATAGATGGTTTACCGTTTTTTAAAAATGGGTGGATTTTCCATGGCTATGTTAAATGACCAGATGGTATCTAGATGTAGGGAATGATGGGGATATAAGTGGATGTAAATGATAAACTGCTTGGTGGTTTGGAACCCCAACTGACTTTCATATTTTTCAGAGGGATTGAAACCACCAACCAGTTGGATGAATACCTGGGGGCCTGGGGGTTTGGGTACACATAACTATAGTTAATGATATGGATGTTAATGTTAGTGATCTATAGCGGGTTTAGATGGGATTGTGATGTTACCCAATGCTGATGTAAAATCAATGGTTTATAAAGTTAAACCCAACATAAACTAATGGTAGTTCAAGCGCTATCAATGGTTTAGTGGGTTTATATACAGGTACCATTGCGATACATGTGTTTAAGGTTATGTTGGCTTTACGACAAAGCCGAAGAGTGACTTGCAGTATCACCATTTATTTATTTTCGTTTCAAATGTGTCCAACTTCTACATAATGCTACCCATTGAGTTGTAGATGATGGGACATACAATTATAGGATATATTTAGGACATATTTAGATTTATCAACATACATCTATTTAGCACTATGGATTTTGATGACCCCAAGATTCCCCAAATTATTTGACGATTCCCTGACTTGGCATGAGTTTTGACATCATAGATCATCCTACTCCCAGATGTTTCATTAATTCCGTCAATATTTCAGAATGTGATATATCAAAGAAAACAACATACACAACTCTTGCAACAAAAAACAACACATGTTGCCACATTCAATGGATCAAGGGGAAGATTTGCAGGAACCCCCCATGAAGCCCCCATATTTCATGGGAAAATCTATGGAAAATCCCATGGTTTCCTGTAGAACCAGGTCCTCCGCGCCCACGACCCCAGAGATGCCCTTGCAGCGCTGGGGCAGTGCCTCTGTAGCGTCGAGACGCAGCTGGTCCTGTGGGCCCTGCGGGTGGCCACAGGCGCGCAGAAAATCGGAATCATTCCAGGGATTTTAATGGGTGTCAATCATGGATTCACATAATTGATTTTGGATTTTTATGGATTTTATTTTTCTGGATCTTTGAAAGAAACATATGAAGGTTTGAACGTATTTTAAACGATTTTGAACAGGGCTTTAACAGATGTCCATGGATTTCAATGCGGATTTTAATGGATGATGGTCCCAAATGATCTTTCAATTTTTGGGAATGTGTTAAAGCAACCAACTAGATTGGGCTTGAAACAACAATTTAGAGTCCATTAATGTCCATGTGTTCATTGACCCCCAAAAGGTGGAAGATAACCAACAAGAATGGAAAGACACGCTCAAAAGCACCATCCCACCTATGTGTCACAATATCTACCAAATTCTACAAATTTAAGGCGTCAAAATTTTCGCCAATGCCTATAGATGAATTCAGATGGAATCGGGAGATGGCAATGTCTTGGAGAGGAAAACCATTTTCCAAAGCCAGTTCTTCGTAGGTTTTTCATAGCTTTATATATCAAATAAATGGTAAATTTTGGTAAACTGCCACAGATTACCACAAATTTGCGTCATTTCTGGGGTAAATGTTATAGTAAGTCATGGATCCCTGCAGGGATGAGGCAACCATGGATCCTGAGGTGACGAGCTGCGATTGCTTCCGGACGTCCGAGAAAGCTTGGAAGGCAACGAGCTTCGCCAGGGGGGGTGACTTTGCCGGTTTTCTCATCCAAAAAAAAAAACGCCCAAAAGCCATGCATATTCATCCCCTTTCATCCCCAACGTCGTTGATATACCATGATGAAGATGTGATGTTTTGTGGCAAAGGTCCACCAGTCTCTTTTTGTTGAAGGGAACCGGAGAACCCATGGTTTTTCAAATGCTATGTTCGAAATTCTTATTAAGAATGAGATTTGTGAAAAAGGATATGCTCAATTTCATCCCAAATTTTGACCATTTGACACCACTTCAAGAAACCTGCCAAACTATTTAGTTCGATGATGTTCGATGATTTTCTCTGTGCCGTGTGCATTTAGTAGGGGGTTTTCCCAGCTTGCTCCCGTGATATTCCCATTATCCCACCACTATACCATATCATACCACCATTTTGTTGCTTAACCCTAGACTCCATTAGATTCCATGAGCATGTTCATTCAATGAAATCCTCAGTTTTCTTGGTTAAAATCCCATGAAAACCCCATTGTTCATCATTTTTCTTGGTAAAATCAGGTAAAATCAAATTGTTTGTTGGTAGAACCCTCATGAAATCAATGAAATCCCCATGTTTTATGGTGAATCCTTCCACTTTTGAGCCATGGCACCAGCCTTCCCAGGCCAGCTACGTTCCCCTTGGAGCTCCCTGGAGCTGCGCTTGGCGCAGCTGGGGGGGCTGCTGCGCCTTGACGACACCACGGAGGCGGTGGAGAGGGTGGCCGTAGGGATGCTGGGCGCCGTGCGGCGAGAAGGCGGTGAAGCTTGGAGAAGTGATGGAAAGTCACTGGGAGTCATAACCTATATATATAAATATATAATAATATATATATATATAGTTAATAGGTTATATATGAGATTCCGTCAAAATTTGCGCTGATTAAGTATGTACTGGAGTGTGCATCGGATGTTTGTTGCATGAAACCTGTTAAAACGATAGGGGACTCACAAAAAACGATACGTTTTTTGATTGCGCATGCTTGCGCGTTTTGTGGTGTGGGCATAGTGTTTGCTTAGGCAGGGTTGTTTTTTCACGATTGGATCCACTTCACCATGAATGGGTGTGCCCATGCGGTGGGTTGACTTTACATGACTTTACATTACTTTAGCCACCTAGGTGGGCTGCTTAAACTCGGCGCTGAGTAGCTCAGATTACGGAAACCATGCATCTATTCGCAGGCAATGTAGGCATGCTGGAGTGGCCAACTCCATGCAGTATCTCGTTTTGCTGCCTGGCCTAGCTTTGGTAGACCGCGGCGAGCTATTCATTCAGTCTCGCACTCATGTGACTTGCAAAGATGGAGCCCGCGCAGAACGATACCCAAAAGGAGGACCAGACAGGCACGGGCAAAAGCACAAGTGCGCTCCAACGCGCGCAAGCAAATATCGCCAGGGATGAGGATCCAAGTGGACACGCTTCAAAACTATGCTTAAACAGAAGTAAATAATTGTCAAAATATGTAAAAACAGGAAAGCTTGTAAAGCGATAGTGGGGTCACTAACTTGATGACGCACTTGACGTAAACAATAAATTTTGACCGTTGCTCATATATATAATTTTTTGACATGATATATATATATATATACCAGTATATCGGGGAGTATTGTAGTATACTATCCTAGCTCGTCCCAAGTTAGAATTACCTATAAACGAAATAAATATACATAGATAGATAGATAGATAGATAGATATATATTATATATATAATATATATATATACATACTTAGTTCCCATTTATGGTTATATATAGGATAACCCCATGAATTGGGGACTTACTAACTAGGGTTAACCATGATCCCGATCCCTGGGATGATACTTGAAGTATGGAATAGGTCATGGATCCTGGTATGATCTGGTCAATTTTTCTGGTATCATGACTACTATAATTTTTACCATAAACCAATCAATACCAGGTAAGGGAAAGCCTGTTGTTGGTAATGCGGTAATTATACCAATCAATACCTACTTAGGAGGTGGGAAAAATTGGAGAACCTGGGAGATGTGTATGGATGGTAATGGATGTTTCATGCTGTTTCAAATCGTTTTAAGGTATTGTCAAGGTACTTGCATCTAACATGCAAAAACTGGAATGATTTCCTTTACTGACGGATATTCAACAACTATTCTACCCTCTGGTAAACTAACGTAGCTATAGAAAATCACCATTATGCATGGGTAAATCCACTATTTCTATGGCCATTTTCAATAGCTATGTTAAATTACCGGAGTGTAACTGGAGGGTAAGGGAAGGTTTTGGGATGCTGGGATGTTGGCCGTCCACACAGAGACATGTTCTTTGGCCAGGGGCTGACCAAGGCGAAGGGTGAAACATATCGAAGAATGAGGATCCTGGAGATTTACTATTTACTATGAATAAACCATAGTATATCATAACCCATCATCTACAATACCAGAAACCATAGAATTCACATTAGTTAACATTAGTTCACCATTAATTTACTATATACTCCCTGGTAAATTAACATTGCGCATTGGAAAATCCACCCATTTGCAATAGGTAAATCAACTATTTCTATGGCCATTTCCAATAGCTACGTTAAATTACCAGAGGGTAATTATTTTATAGTAAATACCTCTGTTTTTGAACATCAACACTGGCTGGCCATACACGCCAAAAAAATCATGATGGATTTTCGATGGGAAAACATCAATCTCATGGCCCAGCAATAATCAGCAATCCGGTTTGGTGTTATGTAAGTGGAGTTGTTATTGACCTGTTTGATGAACACATTATTTGGGCCATGGCCCACTCGAAATAGGCGACCAGCAAGGGATTCACTGTTTGTCTTTGACACGTTTTCACATGCGGGATGCCAATCCATAAGGTCCATCCATAAGGATGAATAAACCCCTGGAAGTGTTGTTATTTTCCGTCACAGCCACTTGGTAATCCTTTCGGCTTTTGTATTTGCGCAGCTCATATCACTTCTTTCCACGGTTGCTTTCCATCCACACCAGCCATCCCAAGGAGATGAAGGAAGCGTTGCTCCAAATCTTCTCCCAACTTGGGCAAACGAGGACCCTTCCAAGAGAAGTTTTGCAAGACATTGACGCGGACCTGGAAGATGCAACTTGGGCATACTTTCCCAAGACTACACACGAGATGTTTCTTTGGGTGACTGGTCCACATGGAGCCAGTCACGCTTTGGCCCAGGATTCCTTTAGCGTTCTTTTGTCAAATCATCTTATTTGCTGTGCGCGGAGGGTCATTATTGCTGGTTTGGAACCCGCAAACTTAACAAAAAACACCAAAAAATCTAAGAATGCTAGTTTGTTTAATGATTTTATTGATTATTATGATTTTATGATTTTATGTTTTTATGATTTTATGATTTTATGATCGTCCCATGGCATCATGGTTTTTACTTGTTATTGCCAGCTCCGTGGGTAGACGATGAATGAATACCTTGCAAATTCTAAGGGCCCAATTACCATCACATCTCCATTGTCACCTGGAGCCAGTGCATGGTGCCCAGGTATGCGAGGCGGTACGTTTATTGGCCATGGACGTCCTTTTCAGCCAGTCCGGGCCAGGCCGGTCTTTTGTTTGTTGGGGAATGCTGCTCAATCCCATCCGGCACCAAATTTTTAGTTGATGGATCAAGACCTGTGAAATATATTGACATATCATGGTTTAGGCGGGATGAATATCCATAACTGTTAACTAGCAGCTATTTTGGTGTGGGCAGGGTTTTAGCTGATTTTAGCTCATAGCCACATTAGACAAGGCTTTCTGAGGGGTTCTGTTTTCGCGGGAAGGAGATGCCATGATGGATCTTGATGGGTTTCGAACTTCCCGGCTGGAAAGGTAGGAGCTGATTCGGAGGATGGCACTACTGGTATTTATATACTTTAAAATTACATATATTTGAATAATTTTACACATATTTACACGATTTTCTTGATTCCTATTGACAACAGCTGTTGGGATGGATCAGCTAGCGACCAGACGTCCGAGTTCTCAACCCTCCGTAGTGAGGCGCTTCCATTCATCGACTGTAATCGCCTCTCCATGAGAAAAACATGTCAGACACAGCTCTAGATACAGGAGAATAGTACTGGTGCCCATGCAGTGGCCATGCAAAATTTGCTCACATTGCGCGACTGCATCGGCTTCCTGTTGCTTTGAAGCAAAAAAAAAATCAATAGCTACTCAATGGCCGCTTCGATCTCTTCAACTGCAAAAATCCATCCGCTTTCTTCGAAAGCATCCAAGGTCCTGATTTTTTTCACCACGACTGAAAATAGGGGTACCCCCAAATCATCCATTTCAATTGTATTGTCCAAACCATCCATTTTGGAGCCTTTCGTTTTGCGGCTCACCATATCACTGCCAGGTTTGGAGCTGACTTCCCATCGCGTAGCCGTGTGCTTGGCGGATCCATCTCCTCTCGTTCAACAGAAATTCTTCGAGACTCGGTTGTTTTCCTGAACTCCCCCGACCGGCCGACCGGATGGTTTTCGTCATAGAGCCATTTTATGTGGCAAACGCAATGCCACAAAGCATCACTAAAATCACATCAAATCACCATTGTGGCATGGGTAATTACTAGAAACCATCACCAAATAGTATAGGTTTATGGCAGGGGTTGCCCACATTCATATTTACCAAGCAGCTTTGAAGCAGGTTTCTACGACCAGCAAACATCCACCTATATCGCCTCAGACATCGATATGGCGTTGTCTGAAAATGGTGTATTTACACCCCAACTTCCGGCAATCACATACAGGAAGTAAGGGAAGATGATGAAGCCAATGCCCTCTAGGAATTTGACATAGCTATGGAAAATCATCAAATCAGACATAAATGGGGAATACTATCAATTAGTAGATTTAATAACCAGAGAGTAAGATTTGGTGCTTCCAGCACCACATCCACTTGGCACCGAGGAAAATGTGCATCGCTTGGACACCAGGGTGGTTTTGGCGGCCATCAGATCCAAGGAAGATGCCGGTGAAGCAGGAACTCTTACGGCTTTGAAGCTGGCTCGGAGGTTCAAGATGTTTAACATGTTCCCTCTAATCAAACATATAGCTAGCTAGGAAATGCTCTAGAAATGTCTATTCAAATTGGAAAACCGATGATTTTTTGCATCACTGTTTCAGCTACAACTTGGAGGTTCACAATGGGGTTCAAAGGTCAGCAATTTCACTTGCTTTCGAAGCACCGCGGGGCCATGATCGGGTTGTGAACCCAGATTTTGCGGTGATGCTGATGCTTGCCATATTGTAAGGGAACAGTTGTTGAATTCAGGTGGGAAGCCGTGTGACAATATGATCAATATGAGTTTTGCAAGGTTTTTGCCATCAAAGCAGGAAGTTCAATTTGATTTCCCCAAGAAAGCCTGCAGAATCCCGACTGCATGCTTCGCATGCTTCTCAAACCCCTTAGGAAGGCTTTGCAAAAGCTCATTGCTCCGAGCATGGAGGAGGATATTTTTCAGGCCGCGGCAGCCGCGGGTTCAAGATCACGTGGATTGCAGGGTTTTCACTAAACGTTGGACCCCCCAAGCATGGGTCCATGGGTTCCTGTCTGAGCTTTATAAATAATGAGCGGGCTCACTGAAAGATCTAGGAGTATGGGCCTATGGGGAATTATCAGTCATCCGCAGCAATAGCCTATTATGGCAGTTGTGACTTGCAACGATCATTTCCCAGTTGGTTAAACATTTTGACAAGCAATACGCGATTTAGCAACCAGTTAAGACATGTTAAGGTCGTACTTTGACCATGCATTGGGATCTGACCAGCAGCAGAGGGGTTCTGTTCTATCGCTGGTTGGTGCATGTGTTTTGAAGTTTTCATGTTGGGTCTGGGTCACAACACTTCCCCCAGGTCGGCACAGAAGCCAAGTTTTTGACACCCAGTTATATGATGAATTTCCCCACTTGTCCATGAGCTATGAACGGCACATGACATATGACATATAGTCATATAGCGTATTTCCAAATTCCCAAAACCATTTACAGCCGCAAGGTCATGAATAGTTGGCTAAGTTGATTTAGTTCAGTAGGTTAACGATTTCGGATATATCGGGTTTGTTTCTAAAAACCACCAAACATTAATTAAAAACACACATCGACTTCAAACACCCAATTGTTCTTGGTTTTCTGCCCTCAGTTTGGCAGTTTCGAATCAGCATTTCCAACTGGGAACCGCCTCAGCTTGTAGGTTCGTACCCCAGTTGCCAGTTCCCCATGGAACCGTCAGGAGGTGAGTCTTTTCGCGGCGCATCGCTGTGGCCGGGTACGGGCAAAAGCCCTGGAGCTCCTTGGGAACGATGAAGGGCTGCGACAGAGGCCCTGGCATCAGTGTGGGATGGGATGGCTTTGGGGAAACATTTGAAGGTAACTCATCTGGTTGGTGGTTTGGAAAATTATTTTTATTTTTCCATATATTGGGAATCATAATCCTAACTGACTAAATCATATCTATGACCAATATATTTCAGAGGGGTTGAAACCACCAACAAGAATATTTATCCATAGATTATTCATATTACAGTATTATATACTGAATATATACACATGGAAGTAATACATATTAATGTGTGGGTAAAAACACATGCTACAAGAATGTATAGATCCTGGAAATTGTTTGCTTGCCGGATTTGGGATTTGAAGATCTGAAGATGGGGGTTGGTTGTATAAACTATGGCCATGGCTACCAGCTATAACTGGTTATAAATGGGATTCTACATTCTATAAATGGGGTTTTGTTAGTACTTGTAACTGATAAATGGCCATAAGTGTATAAACTATATAGACTATAAACCACCCATCTTATGGGCATAGAATTTGATATAGTGATGACGATATATGTAATATATGTTTAGGAAATCCAATGTGGTAAACCGCCAAAAAGCATCCCACAGCAGGGGGCAGTCATGGTGGTTCTTCCCCAATTTAATAGACCTTGAACTTGGGCATGGTGACTATGACATTGGGCGGATCCCACATTGTAATCATATTGGTGGCTATATATAAGTATATATCACTATATCCCCATGGAACTCACATAGCTAAGGAAATCACAATTAACACCAAAAGCAGTAAATCATCACACATCATTATCTATAAATGGGTTATGGCTTCCATAGCTATGTTAAATCACCAGAGGGTATATTCATACAAACCCCACTAACTCTAGTTATATCAAGTTATATCAAGTTAATATCCCCTTTAGTTACCCTAGTTAACCAAGTGGTTTGTGTCAACTTAGCCATGGTTTGGGCCTGACATGGCCTGACCAGGTCGCTGGACATCTTCAACGCTGCCCTCAGCGACCCCTCTGCAGTTGTTCGCAGTTCTGCCTGGCACGCGCTGTGCGCAGGCGGCAAGGGGATGGATGTGGCTTCCCGGACGAACGGCTGGGTGATGGCTGGGTTGGTGAGATCTTTTTTTTTGGCTTAGCGGCTAGATCCCCTGGAAATCAATTTTCGGTATCGTTTTTGATGCTTAACATCCAAAAAAATCTTGATGCATGCCCTCTTGTTAAGATGGCTATGGACAAGCACCATGTTGAACAGGTAACTTATATTAACTTATCTACTTTCGCGGGCCATAGTTTCCATAGTGTGTTGTTAGATTTCCAGGGTGGAAGTCATGGTGATTGCAAGACGGGCACCTATATAGGGGTGGGGCTTGACATGGAACATCCACCATGAAGGTAGCTCATTTCCGCAGGGGGAACCCCATTGAAATGTCTATAGCCAGGTATAACCGTTTACTGCAGGGTAAAGGGAATATCTGCAATTAAGCCATTAAACGTATATGCGGACTTATAAATATTAATTAATAAACTACCGCAGCGAATTGACTCCGGATTATGATAACCCATGGCAGAGAAACCTATCCACTAACGGCGATATCTTGGGATAGCTTCCGGCCCACAGAGATCCAATGTTCCCCAAGGACCGACTCTGGTCGCTTCCAACCGGCGAAGGACTGGAGGAGTTGGCTCAAAATTTGCTTCAGATACCCTCTGGTTATTTAACATAGCCATGGTATAGATGGCCCATAGAAATAGATGGTTTACCGTTTTTAAAAATGGTTGGATTTTCCATGGCTATGTTAAATAACCAGATAATGTTTTTCTTGGGTCAGATTCACATCAAAACCAGTGGACCAAGACCATCCAAGACCCCATTTTGCGATATTTTTGGCGATGTTCTCGTGTTTCATCTTGAGATGACGATTGAACTTGATTCATGTTGTGGCCAGTGCAACATAATAACAATGTAGAACAATATGCTCATTGCCACAAACCTACCATCAGCCCTTTAGCAGAAGTCCTTCCATGGTCTTTCAGACAAGACTTACTGGGTTTCGGATCTGGAAAAACAAGTCATGGTTTCGTGTCCAAAATCACGGAACTTTTTTTTGCTGGTTAAACACAAAGCGAATCCGCAACAGTTGAAGCGTTGACACTTCAAACTTAGGGACTTAACTCAGATTTTGCCCATATTTTTTTATGTGTGTTTCTCTTTTAAAAACATGAAAAACACGACAGATGCGATCTGCGCCTGTGCTACGGGGCCCCAGGTGGTTGCCCCGCGCACGTCCCCAGTGGAGCATCCGCGATGTGGCGGCGGCGCTTGAGAAGCTGAAAGGCATTGAAGTGACGACGCTGCAGCAGCTGAGGGACGTGCTGAAGGCAGGGCGGATGAACGACGTCCAGCTGCAACTTCAGCTACTTAATGATGGGTTTTGATGATAGTTTTTAATAATCATGTTTTAATGATGTTTCGATAGCAGGTATTGGTTGAATGCTGTCTCGGGATGCTTCGTGCATTTTTTTGTGGGAGTTGTCAGTGCTTTTATTGCCAAACACACACATATGTATACATATGTGAATATATATATATATATATATGTGTGTGTGTTTATATGTGTGTATATATATATATATGAATATGGAAATGAACATTAATATTATGATGATGATGATGGTGATGACGATGATGATGATGACGACGCTGACGCTGACGATGACGATGATTATGATGATGATAATGATGAAGATGACGATGAGGATGATGATGAGGATGATGATGATGATGGTGATGACGATGATGATGATGATGATGGTGATGACGATGATGATGATGATGTTGATGATGATGATGATTTTTTGATGACGACGACGACGACGACGACGAAGAAGATGATGATGATGACGATGACAATGATGACGATGATGATGATGATTATGATGACAATGATGATGATGATGATGATGACGATGATGATGATGATGATGATGATGATGACAATAGTGATGATAATGATGATGATGATGATGATTATTTGACAATGACGATGACGATGCTGACGATGGTGACGATGGTGACGATGGCAATGACGATGGTGATGATGATTTTGATGATGATGATGATGATGACGACGGCGACGACGACGATGATGATGATAATGACGATGACGACGACGACGACGACGGCGACGAGGATGATGATGATGATGATGATAATGATCATGATCATGACCATGATGATGAGTCATATGTAATTTCTGCAGTGCAGCGTTTGTTGGTAGCAACTGGGCCGCTCTCCCAAGGATATGTTGGAAAGAAAGCACTTCCGACGCTTCAATCGTGCGACCCTGCGGGCATTTGAAGAGCAACTGTTCAACTGAGCGGATGTAGCAACCGAATGGTGGATCTATCACATACCATGTCAAAATGGAACCAAGTTTTTGAAAAGGGTTTGCACAAATCATGTTGGCTATGCATTTTGAGGTGCCCAGTGGTTGGGTTTGACCACCATGAATTGTAGAGACATGCACCATGAATTGCTTGAAAAAGGCCGCATGACGACAGCATTGAGCATTGATCATTGTCACCTTCCATATTGGGATGTTTATCTTCCCATGAATTTTGATCTCCGGTCAAGCTGGGGATGAATATATTCGCTCTATATATGCCCTTCTACATGTATGAAGATGATCCCAATGAGATGTGTATTTCAACCCCTTGAAGCAACCCCCCAATACTTCGTGAGAAGGTACGACTGGATCGGTAGGGTTATGTATATAATTCATTTATATAATATATAATTATATATATATATATGAGGTTATGATATGTATAGTCAGGCCCTGGTATATTAATGATGTGTCCTCACATTACTGAGACATACTGAAATCCAGCCGAACAAGCACCAGGCAAACAGTTCCATGCAATCTTTCTCCAAAAATATGGCAATGGGATCAAGAAACCACAAGACTAAGAAACATCATGTTCTTCTGGTTTCATCGTTTTTTTCATCCTTTTTCTACAAAAATCTTCATCGCCTGAGGAATCTTCGAAGATTTCTGTGGGTCACTTGGCTCAATCCCGCAACATCGCATGCCAAGATTACTATTGGTTGGTCCAGTTTCGTAGGACATGCAGAGGCTAAACCCCCCCAAACAAGTTAAAGGTCTTAAAAGACACAAGAGTATAAACAAACATCATTTCCTATACTGGCATCACTGTGATGTATTTTTCTGCCTGTTCGGGGGGCCCCGACAGGCAATCGCACACAAAATGCTCAATGATTATGACCCATGCCAACATAGTTATCATAAGTTTTTGCGTGGTTAAACATCTAACTTAGCAACAAATAAACCAGAAACTTAAACCATAAATATCACTAAATCCCATCAACCCATCTCTGAAACAACGGGCTTTGTGGCGCCGTGTGCGCCCCCATGGAGAGCCCATTGCCTTCAAAGCCTGCTATTCACCCCGTCCTCCCAGTGGTCGTCGCGCAGTCGAAGCGCTGCGTTCACCCCCCGGTGGCCCGACGGGCGGCAGCGGCTGTTGCTTGGCTCTTCTAAGTGGGGCGTTCCTAAAATGGGGGGTACCCCCAAATCATCCAAAATTGGAAACCACTGGTATTGGGGATCCCCCATTTTATCCATATAATAGCCATCATAGTTATGACCAAAATGGGGACTTACCAGGGTTAGGCAGTGGTGACCAGTGGTGGTCCTGCAAGAGGTCTATTTTGTTCGTTGACATCCCCACGTTCCCGAATTTGATGGGTGACACAAGAAAAATTCTTGCTCATGTGACGTGTGCGCTTTCTGTAAGCTGGCAATCGAAAAAGAAAGCACGAATTGAACAGGTAAATTTATCTTCGAACAGCGTGGGTCCGGCCAGCCATTGGATGATGCTGGAAATTTGTAAGTGGCTATTGATTCGCTCCTAACAAACTGGCATAAAAGAGTGCACTAATCTGCGTGGGAAACCCAATGAGGTTTAAGGCTAACGACGCCAGTACCCTCCGTCAATTTCATCAAAGGCATGAGAAATCCCCATTTTCAACAAGGCAATTCATGTGGCTGCATGATTTCAGGGTAAATCAAGTTGGAAAATGGGACGAGTTTCCACGAGGTTTTTCTCTTCTCGCCTTGGTGGTTTTCGCTTCGGCATCGTGGACAGCTTCGGCGCTGCAATTCTGTCCGTGGTGCGATTTGCCGCGCTACGACTGCCAGTGTCCAGGTCGTACACCAACACCGGGGTGCGTTTTATGTGCGAGGACGGCAGAGCGGGAAGCAGCTTGGTATTTTGAAAACTGGTGCGTTGAATTTTGGAGAACTTTCGACACTATGTTATTTTGTCATTTATTCTAGGGAGAAGTACCTACAGCCTATAGGTTCTGATGTTGAATAAGTTAAACACATGAGTTTTGATCATCAACTTGAATCATCTTGGCTTTGAAAGATGGTTGAAGGGTGGATGCTTGAACCCTGTTTGGCAGCCACATCTCTACTCTCCAGAGCCAATGATCATGAAATTGATGTAGATTTTTGGGGCATTTGTCGATAAAACATGATGGCAAATGAGGTTTGATTTGGGACAATGATAGATTACTTGATGCTTCTTTTCTTCCAGATTTTTTCGGCTGCCTTGTGATTTGACATCCCAACAGCTGAAAGCTGCCTCAACGCTCAGGTATTTGGGAGCCACCCATGATGGTCACGTGATCCACGATGACATCCCCACAGACTTTCACTTGTTCGTGCTGGTCCCAGGGATGGTTTTCGGGCAGCACTGATGTTCGTAGATGAGGGCCACTTAAATACCTGGATGATGTTTGGTTTGTTGGGGGGGTGTACCCTTTGGTTATAGATGGTTATAGTATTTAGTATTTGTTACATAGCGATGGAAGCCGTGGCCCATTCATAGATGATTTATTGTGATTTTCCGTTTGGAAAAATGAGATTTTCTGCGGAATGCTGCATTCTTACCATGTGATTTTCATTGATGGAGAAAATGATGAGTCGAGAATCCATTGGGTTTCGGGTTGCCCCATTTTGGAAATCCATGTGGTAAGAATTATGCGTTTACTGTACATCAATGTGCAGTGTGGAAAAAAACACAATCTTTAATAGCACCAAGTATAGGTCAGACATCATCAAGAATATTCTGCAGATGGTTCAGTAGTGTTAAGTGTTCCCACTCGAGTGAGATGGTTCGTCTAGCGTTCCCAGGATGTCTTCACTGGCTACGTGAAGTTGTATCACTTAGCCTCGGACCGCAGCATTTTCATAACGCAAGACGGACTGCTGGGCTGCTACCACGGCGATTTCGAAGAACACTGGCGGACGGGCAGCGGTTGGCGTTGGAGAGTACTCAAAAGACTATCAAATCCTGGGCCTGAGAAAGGAAGAGAATTGCCTTCAACATCCTTCAACCTATTTTATATTCTATACAAGTATGATGATTATGATGGCTAGTGGAGCCTGAATCTTGAGGGATGTTACTTTTGGACCGGAGTATGGGTTCAGACACCGGCGGGAGCAGAGTTTGCCGGCAAAATCGACCAGACACTCTTGCATGTCATAAACTTAGTCCCCCAGATCAATCTAAACTGGTCGGTGGTTTGGAACATTTTCTATGTTCCATAATATATGGGATAATCCTTCCCATTGACTCTTGACTAATATTTTTCAGAGAGGTTGAAACCACCAACCAGTAAATTGCTGGCTTGACATATGTGTAATTGATTGGGAAGTTTTCTTGTTTTGAATCAACTTTAATATTCTTCAGGTGATGATTTCTGTGTTTTATCAACTTCTATATTTTTCGGGAGAAGGGGGTGAAACCATCAACCAGTGAAGCCCATGGGTTTGGTATGACTGCAGGTGGAAGATGCTGGAGAGAGATGACAAAGGAAGTTTCTCGCTGGTGGCTGGGGCTATCATTAAACATATCTTTGGAAAATGGCTCACTTGTAATGTAATTCGTATGCATACAGACATAGACATAGACTGACATAGACATAGACATAGACATAGACATAGGCATAGGCATAGGCATAGACATACAACAATGGCCACACATATCAGTTCGGTGAATTCTTTTGTAAAAATTGAATGATATCCCAATATCCCCATCATATCGTACAGACTCGGCAGGGTAGTCTCATGATCCTGACATGATTCTCCAGATGTGGGATGGTTCCAGCCGGTGAGGTGAACTTTAGTACCGAATTCTTGTTGTATTCCAATGCAGATGGACTGGCCAGGGTCAATGGGGGAGTTGGATGGAGTTGGGGTGTTGAATATACTGGGATAGGAGTGAAAATCCATTGTCCATTGTTCTCTTGGGATGGTCAGGAGGTAGTTTGTTTGACCCCGTTCTGTGAAACTTCGCCATACTGATCCCATGGTTTCCTTTCTGCGAGGACATATGTGGTAACACATCTTGAAACTCATCCAGTACTTGGATGTGCATCCCAGCTCAGGGTGTACCATGCTTTACCCCTTAATGCACCCTACTAAACTCCTATTAAATGGGGGATGCCCAAGCATCCTCCTATCCTCGACTACCAAGTGCCACATAAGGAGGTGCCCACTACTGACAAGTTGAATCAAGTTTATATATCAAACTATCGTCATAATATGGTATGTTCAACCAACTTAGCTAACAAGCTGGGGCAACTTCTTTGATAGTCAAGTCACTTAATTAAGTCCCTAGTGTTGATGGTTATTTATTTCAAAAAAACGGCGACATCTTCTTAACCTAATGCTTTTCTGCTTATCATCTCCCATTCTCAAGTGCCCCCTCCCATTTATCGTTGCCCCCCAAAAAAATATTAGTCTTCCCCCCCCCCAAAAAAAAAAACATTCCTCTCTCCCCCCAAAAGAACCGCTCAGCAGTTTCCATTCCAGGACGCTTGGGCACCTTCCAGGGCGACTACTTCGAAGATCAGCTCTTTTTCTGCCAGCGTCCAGGCTTTGGCCGTGAAAGCCTGGACGGCACGGTGACGCCTATGGAGGTGGAGGGGCTCTACGGGCTGGAAGATGCTGGCACCTTGGTCCAGAGGGTATGGCAAAATCTTAGGACCCAGGCCCACTTCCAGTGCGATTCCGGCATGAACTCAACATCTGCGGGCTTCAGTCAAGTGGAAACTCAAACGAGAGAGTTGCGACCGGAAACCAGGAGTTAAAACAAAATGGGAAATTATCCCTTGTGTTGGCCTTCTCTAACCGGGTTTCGTGAAATATTAGAAGGAATTTGGCTAGATCTCATGGTGAAGACAGATTGTAGCATATTGTAGTTATTCTTCAGATTACTTGTAAGATCTTGGAAGTCTTTTTGTGGTTTGGGCATGGTTGGGCAAGAAAATGGATGTACCACAAGAGCCCACCAAAACAGTTGCGCCCTGCCTGGAAAAGCTGAGAAGCTGAGGCTTCCTGTGGGAAGGGCAACAGCCTGCGTCTTGGAACCAACACATGAAAACATCCTGGCGGTTTGGAAGATGAAATCGCTGTAATCGATTGGTGCTTTTGGCACAAATCAATACAAATCATAGATTTCATATGATTTCATGTGTATTGTATGGTTTTGTGGCATTTAAGAAGATGAAGACGTGGGTCATAGCCATAGCCTATTGTTTGTTGGGTCTTTATGATTCCAGAAGACGATCCACATGCCACGGATGCTGTACGCGTCGCTGGAACGAGGTCTACACGGATGCCTTCCAAGTGCGACACTATGTGCGTCACTTGGTTCTCCACAGATGGGGGATCCCCAGTCGTCACCATGGCTGTTAGTCATCCATGGATGATTTGGGGGGTACCCCCGGTACCCCCGGTACCCCCTATGACTTATTAGGAAGCCCCCCATAATGAAGAAAGGGTGGACCGGGAATTCTTCCGCCACCGCCACACTGATGGACTCTTTTGGGCCATACTGATGCTGCCACCATTAGGGGTTTGATGCTCTCCCTTGCTGACTATCATTCGCCACATCCTCATGTGGCTCATGTTTGTTGAAACGTATATAGTATATAATATATATATATATTATATAATCACCCTTTTCGTGGAGTGTAAGCAAGGGGGGCCTTCAAAAAATGTAAGCAACAATTTTGACCACTGCGTATTTTTTCCCGATGGGAAAGGCGGCTATATATATATATATATCTTAGACCCGTCCTACGTCAAAAACTGTGCCCCGGAAGATTTACATTTAGGGAGGGGGGTTGAAACCGCAAGACATACGTCACCCTGTACCCCCCTCCGAACCCCCGCCCCGTACTCTACGGATAGGGGGGGTGGGGGGTGGTAAAAATTGTTAAATGTCCGCAAGCAGTTTGTAAACTGTTTGTGAGGTGTCTTTGTGGGGATGTAATCAACCTATGTCTGAGGTCCATAGTTCCTTTCAGAAAGTGTTCGATAAAGAAGGTAAAACTAAGATAGAAAAATGTAACCATTTTACACCTGAGGCCTATAATTCCTGGCAGAAAGTGCTTGAAACAGAAGGTAGAGATGAGATAAAGAAAATGTAACCATCCTACACCTGAGGCCTATAATTCCTTGCAGAAAGTGCTCAAAAAAGAAGGTGGAGATAATGTAGAATCGTGTAACCATCCTACACCTGAGGTCCTTAATTCCTTTCAGAAATTGCTTAAAAAGAAGGTAAAAATGAGAGACAAATGTAACCATACTACACCTGAGGCCTATAATTCCTTGCAGAAAGTGCTTAAAAAAGAAGGTAAATATCAGATAAAAAAAAACACCGTCCTATACATAAGGTCCATAGTTCCTTGCAGAAAGTGCTCGAAGAAGAAGGTAAAGCTAAGATTGAAAAATGTAACCATCCTACACCTCAGGTTCCACAGTTCCTTTCAGAATCAACATGACACATGTGTAGATTGTTATTATATTATAGTTGGACGGTCATAAGGGGGGCTAGATAGGAACCGTGGTTGAAGGGTGTTTAAGTTCGATCATGTAGGTACATAAAGGGGATGTACCATGGGGACCCCATAAAGGTTCATTTGAGGTCCTTTTGAGATCTTTACTTGTATTCTATTGTTTTTTCCATAGGCAGGAGGTAAATTTGAAGACCTTCAACATCTAATTTTACATTTATTTGAAGTTCAAGGGTTTTCCAGTAATTTGCAAGGAATAATATACCTTCTATACCTCTATATTACATGTGGAAATGATACAAAAGGTGTAGAAAAAGTGTAGAATGTATTGGAAATACCAGGCAATTGGGGACCTACAGACTTCCAGTTTGCATTTTTGATTTTCTGCAATTCTGCAGCTATTTGCAGACCTTCACACTATTTTTTTACATGTTTTTTTCATGTTCTTACATTTTTTCAAAAATGCAATGGACAATATTGAACGCGCCCCTGGGTTGTTAAGAAAATAAATGAGATCCCGTAAAGAATGAGGGGACCTACTAAAATGAAATCTTGCAAATAAGACGCAGTTAAACAAATAAATGCTTGCCAACATTTAACAGGACCACCTCCCTCAAAAACGTCTAAATTGTGTCTTGCAATTTGGGTACGCCCCCCTCCTTAAAAGGGTAGTGATTATTATATATATATATATTGGTTCAATTCTGATTGATCAGAATCTGCTAATTACAGCCTCCATCCGCCCGGCTGTGATGTTCAAACACTGTTCAGATATACATGTTGAAATTTGCAACTCGTCTCCATCTTATCTTATTCCAATTTTGGGTTGGTTTAAATCCGACCTTTTGCTGGTGAACTCCCAATTTCTAACGTGATCATCCCCATTTTTGTCTGCTTGGCTGCAACAATACTCAAAGTTCGATTTTGCTGCATGTCATTTGCCATGAATTCTATGCGTTTCATTGTGTTGTTCCATGGCATAATCCACCATAAGCGCTCCTTTCCGCTGCTTAAACAACATCTGCTCACGGTCAGCTCCACAGGTGACGCCTCTCGCAATCTCCAGGGCATCGGAGAGGTCTGGAGATCCCTGGCGCCGCTCTCTTGGGGTACCTTAGCGTCTGAGGGTGTCTAAAATTCTTGGATCCCCAAGACCAGAGGGATTTTTTTTTTCTCGGGGGTTGGGAATGATTGGGAATGCAGACATTTTTATAATGTTTTATAGTGGTTTAAGGTCGTTTTTGCTGGTCTCTTAAAATAGTGGATCCCCAAGTTACCATGGTTGTTTCAATACTAAGTAGTCATCCATGACTTGGATGATTTAGGGGTACCGCATGTCACCGCCATTTAAGGACACCCCGATATGGAGAGTCACATGAGCCACCAGGAAGTTCATGAATCATTCCAAACAACTATGGCAAAAGTATATGATATTTGTAATGTAGAATGATGTTGTGTTTTTTCTATATTGGCCAGCATCCCATGCAATTGTGGCAGGTTTTTTTTCTGATTTGTGGAATTGTGAAATTTCGCCAGCTTGGAGTCATTAGCCTTTTGTAATTGAATATAGCTACTGGAAGGTACGGTATTCCATTGACATCCAATTGAATCCACACTTTTTGTGGTTCAATCACCATTGTTTCTGGTAAAATCACATTTTTTTAATGCAAAAACTGGTGAAATCGCAATTTTTCATGGTAAAATCACCAGGGTTTATTGTAAAATCATCATTGTATACCATTGTTCACTGTGAAATCGCCATTTTTTCATGCTAAATCCACCCTTTTGCATGGTAAAATCCATGTCTTTTCACGGTAAAATCCAGGGTTTTCACGAGGCTCCGGCGTGGATCGGCAGTTGGCTGAGATGCCGCGGCCGCACCACTGGGCCATTGAGTGCGGCACTTGGATCGTGGCACCAGAACGGACCATTTGGCAATGGTTTCAAGACCCATGTAGAAGATATATAAATGTATCTACCCTCTGGTTATTTAACATAGCCATGGGGCATAGATGGCCCTAATCGAAATAGATGGTAAACACCGTTTTTAAAAATGGGTGGATTTTCCATGGCTATGTCTATGTAAATAACCAGATGGTAGATCTATATCTATATTCAACATAATGATGTGTTTAATATGATATATGTATCCATATTCACATCTATATTCACATCTATGTTCATATACTGTATATATATATATAACCATATATACATTATACTATTTAATGCACACATGGATAGTTTGTTTCTAATATCCACATTTACATATTTTTGTTTATATATATATATATAATGTCAACCTGACGCGCAGCAAAAAAGAGTTTTTTGGGAAGAACACACTATTTAGTATATTTATATATATATATGTAAATACCTATTTATGGTATACATACGTATGTACTTGGGGATGGCGAATAAATTGCAATGACTCGTGGGTCCTTGGGACAATTACACTATCGTGGAGTATCACTACTATGGTTAGTCAAATGAGTCATTTGAATTGCAGGGTTTGTTAGACATCCGTGTTAAGCGGCTCAGAGTTTAGGATGCTAGAAAATGCTGGCAAGAGTCAACAACTCAGGCTGTCAGGGGTCTAGAATATAGAATGATGACGGGAATAACAAGCGACGTGAATGCCCAACGTCTTTGTTTAGCCCACAAAAAAAGGATTGAAACTGGAGCAACATCCATCACCTTTACCATTGGAAAATTCTGCATCAGCTACGGCATTCTACAGCATTCCAAATCCACTCGAGGATTCTATATATCATTTTATGTCTATAGTCTACTACAAGCATTATTACATATATATATATATATATACATATGCATATGTATATACATATATATATATATTTATTTATTTATATACATATGTATATGTATATGTATATTTAGCCTCCATCGATCACTCAGCCAGGCACATCCCCTTCCTGAAACATTTGGCGCAGCAGGGTCTCATCTCAGAGTCCCATGGACGGAGCCTTGGCACTGGAGCCACGGAGGATATTTCATCGTTGGAATGCTAAGCCTAGTTTTTTGCCACCCAGAGTCTCTACAGTATATAGATAATATATAATCTATAGATATATATATATACATATATGTATATGTATAGATGTATGTCAACAGTGTGTGCGTGTTTGCATTTCTGTTGATTCATCATATTCAACTGTGCCTGGTTGCTGGCTAGAACGAGCACTGCGTGTGGTCCAAATTTGACCATTCCAATTACCCCGATCAATGGGAAGTATATTTATTCAGATTATGCCCTTAAATTTGACCTCACAGTTTCCGACCATTGGGGATGATTTTGGATTTGTTTGAGCATTTGGTTGCTGTAGCAATCAAGCATGGCAAGGGACGGTTTCCATTCGCCAGGTCAAGATAGCAGAGGCGACCGGTCAATCCTAATTTGTCATGTGCCAATTCGATTTTTCCAAGTTTGCATGATCAAAATCAATGCGATTATATATATATATATAATCATAATCAGAGTTACATCCCATTCTATCCATCATGTTTCACCATGTTTCCAGCAGTTTTCCCCAGAAATTCTCCATGTTTCATGGGCCTTCAACGCTGAGCCGCCTTTTAGCCAGGAACGCGGTGCATGCCTCGCGACCCATTGGCCACGTGCGCTTTCGCCACAACGGGCTGCAGCCCTTTGGAGCCATCAGCTTTGCGCTGGCGGCGGTGTGACGTGGCGGCAGCACGATGGGGAACTGGGTGCTTTACCCTCTGGTCAACTAACAGTTTGCTATGGAAAATCACCATTTTTAATAGGTAAATCAACTATTTCTATGGCCATTTTCAATAGCTATGGGAAATTACCAGAGGGTAAGCCTTTGAAAATGTGTGCATGGAGTGCCGGAAAAGGGCCAAAAGGCCCCAGACAACCACCAGAGGCTATAGTAATTAAGGACCCCAGAGATTCCAAAAAGAGGAGAGCAAAGGCAATCCAGAATCAAGCAAAGCCGAAAGGTGTAGGGGTACAAAACCCAAACAGCAATCAATAGAGACAAGAAAAAGTCACCATGTCCCGACTCCCAAGCATAAGGTTGCACATAAGTCATCCAAATCGTGGGCTGCATTAATACCATCCATTTTTAGCTGATTTGGGAGACAGTTTATACCATCCATTTGATGGAAACTTAATCACCATTATTGTTAGGATTGAAGGAATCAGCCCCAAATAGTGAGTCATTCTGTCTCAATTCAGGTTGGTGAGTTAGTAGAAGTAAGATTTACGCAGATATCTTGTGAGTTTTCTGAATCATATTGCTATAATATGGAATACTGTGTTGAGGATATCAGTGTTAGGGCAATTTGGTGATTTAACCAAAACAAATGGAAAGTTACATATCATATAGGAACCCCAAAACAGATTATATAACTAGAACATATCACTTGCACCATCTTGGAAACACGCTGCTCTCTTTTTGGGGACCCTTCCATGTGATTCATGATAGGTAACTTGCTGAACATAGCTAGGGATTATGGTGGAACTCTATTATGCTAGTCATATAGATGGGGGTACAGTTGGGCTTAGTGATGGGAATAACTGCTGAAAACACAAAAACACGTGAAGTTGGATACAATCCCTATACTTAGAACCATATGGACTTGTCCCCTCCAAGTATAGATCCATATTTGATAGGCCCGATAGGCCCCAACTACCTGGACAGCAGGATGATGAAATGTTCTTACCGCCCCTTCTCGTTTCACAAATCCGAAATCCATAGAACTGGGAACATCCCATACATCTTTAATGCCTAGCATGAGCTGAAAGTAAAGTCCTGTTGGGGAACTCAGGATACCAAGAACTACCCATAGCCATAGCCCAAGACTGGGAATTTATCGCCAGGATTCACTAGGGGAGCACTTTCCCAGCGCCCATGTTGGGTTGAACAACATTACCATCCCGTAATCAAACATGACAATGGGAAACCCACTCATTTCTGAGCACCCAAATGGAAAATCATCTAATTTTAGTGATTTTCCATTGCCATAAGTTAGATTGCCAGAGGGTACAATGATTCACCTTCACCCCCTTCACTTTTTCCAAGAGGCACACTGAAGCATCTCGCTGCGACCTAAGCAAATTGAATTCAACAGCCAAAGGGTCACGTCCCGGGGCTAGCATAGTTTGCTCCCTTGTCATCACTACGAGGCACCAATGATGGTGCGGGGAGGCACCCGTATGGTCCTTATTTTGTGGACCACCTAAGAATGAACCTGAAATTAGCTTCAATACCCTCTGGTAAACTAACAGTTTGCGAACTTGAACATGGCCATAGAAATAGTTGATTTACCATGATTTACCTATTAAAAGTTGTGCTTTTCCATAGTTATGTTAGTTTACCAGAGGGTAATTGTCATAGATCTCAGATGATTCGGACATTTTGACGATGTGGTAATTCTGAGTTGAATTTTGCCATCCTTGTCCCCGCGACCTTCTGAGTGGATGTGTATCACCATACTCTTTGTACAATACCCAGTGGGTGCGACTTCCAGTGTGTAAAGCTGGGCAGTTTGGCTCAAGTTTTTCCCACGGATGTGCCTGCGCACATGCTCAATTTTCCCATGTTAATAGTAGAGGATAAACCGATAAACCATAGCAGCCATAGCATTTCAGGGATAAGTACCATAGACTTTCCCATTTCGACCCTTCGACCCTCGTGGATTCCGTCGGATGCTTCAATTGACCATCGCTTTGCCCAGCGGCCTTTGTGAAAACCTGTCAGTTCCGAAGTCCTCCAACGTCGGGGACTTGAGGACTCTGGCGCAGAAGAGATTTCAACAAGGCTTCCTGAGGCCGGGGCTGGATTATCATGGGTTTTTAATTGAATGTCCACATCTTTTAAACCAGCAGAAATTGCATTTTAAAGGGAGTTAACCCGCAGAAATGGGGATTTAACAGGATTTTATCAATGAATGATGGATATGATGTGTGTTTGTAAGTGGGGCATACCCCCAAACAGCAGTTTTTAATGTCGAATATAATGAGTAATCGTTCAGGATTTTGCTTTACCCAACTTGCAAACAAATCCATATATGTGAGATGGTAAAAAGGATGGATTTTTTTAAGCCATAAATGTTAAGAACCCAGGATTATATAATATTGATTAATCGACCGACTGTTTATTATATAAACGAAGGGTGCGAATTTTGGCCCGAGGTCCCGGCCCATGTACATGCTGTATTAGTCAGGGGGATGGGCATCAGCCCATTGCTGGGGATTGATGTACCCACTGAAAGGATTCCGACTTGGGGATGACCATGGCACATAGATTTGTTTGTCTAACCATGGCACAAGAACTTTGACTTTTCAAGGGGAAAAAGGAGATTACACCTTTTTCATCACCCTTAGTTTTCCGTGGAGATGATCCATGATGATTACCCCAGCTCATGTTTGGGTGATATGAGGAGGTATATGAGCATATGAATATTTAGATGGACCCTTCTTACGCCCTGAGAAAGATCGACCTTGACCCTCAGTTGACTTATAAACAGATTGGCAAACATACCCTCAAAAATGGGATAACATCTCATAGCAATCCATACGTGTTTGGTAGCAGCTAAATTTCAACAGGAAGGCCACCATAAGAATAGCTAATTATGTCATGGACTGTTATGGGTTCGAATAACATCCCTAACAAAGTCGGCAAAATACCAAAGAAAATGGAGTAGTAACCATACACATCATTAAATCCATATCAACATCATATATATATATATAATTATCATATAAGTATCATATAAATATCATATAATTATCTTATAACATCTCAAAATATCATATATAATATCATACAATATATATATATATATATATATCCTTATCAACCCATAAAATGCCATATAACATATCATAACATACCATAATAATAATAACAATAATAATAATAATGATAGTGATAATGATAATGATGATAATGATAACATATCACACGATCCCTATTGTTTCACGGCCACTTCCAAGGCTCATCACCTCCTCCGGTCGCGCCTTAGATGCCGCCGAGTCCCTGGCGCTCCGGGACGGCGACGACGTCATCACCGCCGTGGCGCTGCGGATGGAGCTGACGGCAGCGGTGAAAGCTGTGGCGCTTTGGTGCTATGGAGGTGGACATCTTGTGTGGTGTTTTTGGGGTGTTTTTTTGAGGGGTTGGTTGGATGGTTGATGTTTTGTTGAAGGCTTGTTGGTGAATTGATGGTGAATTGATGGTGCTTGATGGTGCTTGATGGTGCTTGATGATTTGTGTCGTGAATACTATGGCATTTAAATGCAATATTGTTGATGCCAAGTCTATATTTAGCATGTATTATTTCGATGTGATTGTCAAGTCTCCCACTCTGGGAGGATGCCAGTCATGACTTTCACATGTCTTGTGGATGACCGAACCAGGTGATCGGATTGTCACCTGGGGTGATCCACGCCTGGGCGGTGACGCTTCTGCCATCCGCGCGCAGCTCCGGGGTGTGCAGCAGGTTAAAGCCACGTCCGGTGCCTTTGCAGCGATTGTGGCAGATGGATCTGTGGTCACTTGGGGCAGTGCAGATTATGGCGGTGACAGCTCTGGAGTCCAAGGTCAGCTCATCAATGTGCAGCGGCTTCAGGCCACAACTAGGGCGTTTGCGGCAGTCCTGGCAGATGGATCCGTGGTTACTTGGGGCCGCAGAGATTGTGGTGGTGACAGCTCTGCAGTCCAAAGCCAGCTAAGGGGTGTGCAGCAGGTGGAAGCCACAGACTTTGCATTTGCCGCGATCTTGGCAGATGGGTCGGTGGTGACATGGGGCAACCCAGACTGTGGCGCAGACAGCTCAGCAGTCCAGGATCAGCTTGGTGGAAACGTGCAACAGATTCGGGGTGCGACCTATGCATTTGCTGCTGTCCTGACGGATGGATCAGTAGCAGCATGGGGTGATACAGATGAGGGTGGTTCCAGCGCTGAAGTCCAAGATCAGCTCAGGAGTGTGCAGAAGCTTCAGGCCACAAGTACAGCATTTGCAGCTACCCTCGCAGATGGATCAGTTGTCACCTGGGGCAATCCAAAATTTGGTGGTGACAGCACCGCAGTCCAAGATCAGCTCAGGATTGTCGAGCAAATTGAGGCCACAGCCGGTGCCTTTGCAGCGATTGTGGCAGATGGATCTGTGGTCACTTGGGGCAGTGCAGATTATGGCGGTGACAGTTCTGAAGTCCAAGGTCAGCTCATCAATGTGCAGCGGCTTCAGGCCACTACAGATGGTGCATTTGCTGCACTCCTGGCAGATGGATCCATTGTTACGTGGGGTTCTTCAGACTGCGGGGGTGACAGCTCTGCCGTGCAAGATAAGCTCATCAAGGTGCAGCAGCTATGGGCCACTGAAGCAGCTTTTGTTGCGATCCTATCTGATGGGTCCGTTGTGACGTGGGGCGATCCAAGTCATGGTGGTGACAGCTCTGCAGTCCAAGACCAACTGAAACAGATATAGTTAGTAGCAACATGAGCTGAATGTGCATGGCTTCAGGTTCGCAACTCTGGATATGCATGCTTGCTATGCATCAGACAACTCAATGCAGGCTATGTGAGGGGTCTTGCAGTGGTGTTGGCAATCTTGACCTGCTGCTGGTTGCCAGCATCCGTGATGACTTTGCTCCATGACTCCCAGCATGATCATTTCCCCGAGCAGTCTACTCCGCTGGGCCGTTTCTACCTGCCAAGCTCGACCCCGCGGTGTGGGTGCGAAATGGCGTGCTGGTGGATTTGGGGTTGTCTCAGACAGGTTCGCCCCGCAAGTGCTGATCGAACAGTACATCCCTCAATACTTGTAGCTACCTTATATATAGTTGTTAAATGCACCCATCATCACCCATCCAAGCTGGTGCCCCACCCTCAGTTGAAAGAGCGTCGGTGTTGTTTATCACCCATCTATAGCACCCTATATGTTGTAAGATTTTGTAAGTATATATATATATATATATCACCATAAACCCAAGCCTCATTTGAGCTGATTCAACCAACTTAGGTAACTTTGGTTGGCTAAATCTCCTCAGAGGTTTCATCATTTTTGATGCCAAGCATCAGATCGAGGTCGGATGGCCAGCAAGTTCCCTTGCAACGCACTTGGAAACGTGCTTGGCATGGCTCCACTCTCCATCGCATCGAGCAGATCGCGCGCGAGGGGCTGAAGGTGGGCAAGAAGGGGAGCCTTAGATGGGAATTCATGGCTTTTATAAAGCCTGCGGTCGTCAAAGATGGCTGGGAAATCCAATGAAATCCACTATGAATTGGGTCTTTTTGTCATCATTTGAGTGGTAAAATCGTCGAACGAAGTGGGGGATTGTCCAGTTTGATTGCCAGAGGGTAATGGGAATGGTGGGAACATGATGGGAAATTCTGGGGCCGCTGATTGAAATGCTATGCATTTTTTTTGCGAAAATGATGGGAAATGGATGGGAATTTTCGCATGTTTGGCTGGAACATCCCAACGACTTTTGATGGGATGAGACGATCATCATTCATCAATGGGTGATTTCCAGCCAGGTAAACTGGAAAGCAAGTCAGGTGGCTGGATGGAAATAATGGTTAAATTTCATGAGAAAATCATGTTCGTCCATGTTGATCCATGTTCATGTTCATCCATTAATGTGCTACACCGTAGCTGATGTGGCTGTAGCTGAATGCAGCTGAGGATCTATTTGTCTCCATCTTTCCAATACACCTTCTGCCTCTACAGTCTCCCTGACTTGCGCGTGGGCAACGATCGCTTTCGCCTGGTGCTGGAGGTGCGCGTGCGGCCCGGAGCCTTCAAGGAGCATGGTGACCACTACAAGCCCTTTGGCTCGGCCCGCGGGGGGTGAAAACCATGAAACATGCTGGGTTTCAGCAACGAAGATAGGGGCTTACTATTTAATTAACATTGTCTCACATAATTTAACATGGTTCACCTATGTTTGACTAACCATCAAGTTGATGTTATGTTTAGAGAGAATGATTTGGAGCAATGCTGAATGAACATGATGATCACGAATTCATGTAATGTTTAATGGACAGGATGATCACGATAATGTTTTTCATATGATGATGATGCAACATATCCAGGGAGATCTCGTTCGCAAAATGTGTTCTGGTCATGTAAGACGTCTAAGGTGATGGTGCTGGAAAGACAGGGCGAGAGTGGGAAGATCTTCCGAATCAGAGGGGTTGGGATCGATGTCCCGTTCTTTGTGATTTTCAACATCACTGGAGATTTAGTATCTGCTGGAGATCATATTCCCAAAAAAGTTGGGTGATGTGCAATTAAGACAGTTCCCAACGGTCCCACCCAACCCGTGAATCACACGAAATCACCAATGTCAGGTGGCTGACTTTTAACATCTTTAACATAGCTGGAATAGCTCACAAGAACAACCCGATTGCCCTCTTGGTGCATCCATGTTTTGCTGTGCGTGATCTTTAGCAGTCCAATATAGCCATGGACTAAAGCCCAGCTGTTTCTTGTTCCCCACTACCCCGGATGCTGTTCCCTAACTCAGCAGAATTTTTGGGATTGGTTGGGACCACCGCAACGATGGCACCAAGGTTCTGCGAACTTCAACATGTGGAGCCATGTATTCCCCTGGATTGTCTTGAATGGGAGGTTGGCAAGGACGCGGCCTCTTGGCTAAGTGGTTGAACCATGTTGAACCATGTTGAACTTCGAAAACAAAGAGGATAAAGAGAGAAAGGGAGATTACAGGACCATAGAATCAGTTTGAATCATATAATCATCATAATTACAGACTATTACAGTATTATAGAATCATATAGAATCCCTTCCCCTTAAGATCAAGCGCACCCCAGAACCCCCGCTTGCCGGATCGCTGAGGGTCGGCCCGTTGGGCCCCAACAAATTTGTTGTTGGGTACCCCCTGGTAAACGTTAACACAAAACATATGGAAAGATCCACCCCTTTTTTCATGGGAAAATTCACTATAAATGGTGATTTTCCATAGTTATGTTAAATTACCAGAGGGTAAATCATGGTAAATCTATGAACTAATGCTATTCTAATGTTTAAGTAAGAAATTGAGTATATAACTAGTTTTCCGGCAGATTTTCCTTACTAACCAATTTACAGGTGCAAATTGTTCGTTTGAAGGGGACTTGGGTTCGCAATTGAGCATATGGGGATAATCATGGCGAAATAACCGCCATGGCATGTAGCCCCTTGAACTATGGCTCGAAACTGCTTAGTATGGGGATGGATCAAAACCTTGTACCCCTGGTGAACATCAAAATAGCTGGTAGTTATGGATATGAATCCCCCTAAAAATGTTACAGGTATTGATCCATACAGCTATGGCCATTTATCAGTTATAAGTACTAACAAGTCACCCCATTTATAGAATGTTTGTCATCCCATAGAAATAACCAGTTATAACTGGTAGCCATGGCCATAACTGTAGCCACCCAAAAAAAATCGTGGACCTTTCACCTCCAGTGCCCCAGGATGCTCCGTAGCCCTTAAGGCGGCCGTCCAAGTGGTGGCTCTCACGCTGAAGCAGCTGCAGCCCACGGAGCCCTCGCTGCGGCACGACACCAACATCCGCCACGGCTGTCGCGCGCTGATCGCGGACGCCGGGGAAAAGCAGCGCTCGCGGCGAGGGCCAGGGAGGGGGATGAAAGGCTACCCTCTGGTAAACTAACATAGCTATTGAAAATGGCCATAGAAATAGTGGATTCACCATCCCCGTTCGAATTTCAACTACAGAATGGGAGGCCTTGTGCCCCGTTTCAAGGCCTTTCCAGGCATAAATTAAGATGAAAAAATGGGGATGGGCCAGGCATTTTGTACCCGCAGCTTGGGAATTGCATTTTATAAGTTGTCAACGTTTCGGTAGTTGAAAGACCTTTAAAAATCGAAAGTCACTTTGTAGCAAGAGAATTTGCCCATCGGAAGACAACATGTAAAAACCCAATCTCATTTTGTAGCAAGGGAAGTTGCCCTTCGGAAGTGTTCCCTTCAAGTAACCTGATGATAAAAACATATAAAAACCAATCTTCATTTATAGTGGTGGAGTGTCCCCTTCAAGTAACTTGATGATAAAAACCAATCTTCATTTTGTAGTATTGAAGTGTTCCCTTCAAGTAACCTGATGATAAAAGCATATAAAAACCAATCTTCATTTTGTAGTGGCGGGGTGTCCCCTTCAAGTAACTTGATGATAAAAACCAATCATCATTTTGTAGTGGTGGAATTTCCCCTTCAAGTAACCTCATGATAAAAACCAATCTTCATTTTGTAGCAGTATCATGTTGTCATTTTCCGTAATCCTCTGGGGGTTGAGAACCATCATTTTATAATGGCTGAGGTTAGGAATTTTGATGCTTTGGTACAAAATGGGTTCTCGACCCCATAGTAGAAATTCAAACTGGGATGATTTACCCATTAAAAATAGTGATTTTCCATAGCTATGTTAGTTTACCAGAGGGTATATGGTTGGCTCAACTCACTTGAAAATTTGGATGGGTAAAAAATGGTAAAAATAAACATCTTGATGATTTGGGAGCTCACGGAAAAAGAGGGGAGAATAAAGGGGACGATTTAACGGCAAGATGTACCAAGATATGTTTTTTTTTGCCACGAAAACCAATGATTGTTGTATGATTGAAAATGGCACTGAATCCAAATGTCAGGAAAACTTGAGCGATTGTAACCTTCGGTCATCAAAACATTGCTTACTAGAGGGTGCCCAGCGAAAGTGGAGATGTTTGGTTATTTTTTTATGTTGTGAATCAGGAATATGAGGAGACATAAATTGGCTCTCCGCGATTGGCGTTTCAAGTAGCCTGTTGGGTTATGATATCATTTCACACTTGGCTACTATTTACCAATGTATCCAAATACATTGCATGCAGCCAAAAACCAGTGGATCTTTGATTCGATATACTGCAGAAGCCCCAACAGACCCTCCATCCTGTCGAAAAAAACGCTGACCTGATTGCTGCGTTAGTCGCGCAGCCTGCAGATCCAGTTTTGATGGCTAATAGGCTTGGGATGGTTTGGGACTGAGTTGACATTTGATGCTTGATATAGTCCAATTTCTACCAGGAGGAACGTTTATTGTATCTTTGTAAGCTATATATATATATACACACGTCATTTTACATTTGATTTGGGAGCGTGCGGTGGTTTCATAACACTTACTATGTACTGTACCCAGCTTTATCAGTTTAACTAATTTGGTCTTGGAAGTTATTCATTGATTTATATATATATATATGTATAGATGCACATATTTACACGATTACATACATACATTATATATTTTTTTTAAAAAAAAACATATATTATATTTGTATTTATTTGTTTATTTATCTACATTGGACTGGTGAAGAGTACCTTGCCCAGATCCGAACAGTGAGGCTTGAATCTCTAAAAACTTCCACAGCTTCGGCCAAGGGAGTTTCAGCCCGGGCCCCACGGAGAGAAGGTCTTGGAGGTCTTGGAATGCTTCTTGATGACATAACCCTTGGCAATCTATCCTGTCAATTGAAAATCCTCTATAAATGACTGGTAGAATCACTTAAGATAGATAGATAGATAGATAGATAGACAGACAGACAGATAGATAGATAGATAGTTAGATAGATATATAGATAGGTAGGTAGATAGATAGATAGATAGGTAGATAGATAGATAGATAGATCAAGCTATGTTTGAATACCAGAGGGTAAGAGTTTTACCATAATTATTTGATTTATTTGATTTGATCGGCAGAACTGGAGTTTCAACCTGTCCAAAGATAGGGATTCGATCTTCAAATTTCAAATGCAGCATCAGATGAGATGTTTTCACCCGCAAAAGATGCCAAAAATCGCCAGAATCTCTTCATCATTGTAGAGCTGACCTTTGCCGATGGGTTGGTCGGTTCATGGAAGATGGCAACAGGGAACATGTTCTCGAAATCAGTCGGTATCGATCAATGGATCCTGATAGATTCTGATTTTGCAAGTGGGCCATGGGCCACAAGGGACCTATCATCGCTTCTGTTGGTTTACTGTCCATCTTCCATCATTTTCCATCCCGTTTACCCATATATAGTTGGGATTAATAATATAAATCATCTTCCATCATCTTCCATCATCATCTTCCATCATCATCTTCCATCATCATCTTCCATCAATTTAAATATATTTTAGCAACCATTTTGTGTCCGTGCTATAATTGTTATTAACTGATTTCGTTGTCGTATGGCCGCGGGTCAGAACGCTGCTACCCTTCTGTTCACACCGAAATAGTTGTTAGTCATGGACGTTTATCTCCCGAAGAATGGTATTCTTCTGTGTTTTTTGGTGTTTTGAGACATCCCCATCTTACAGGGTGGGGCCCCCCACTTATAAGTTGGTTTATAAACCATTATAACCCCCAGTAACTACAGCTATACCTACCATAAACCATAGTTAAGCCACTTATAAGGCAACTGAACGCTATCTTGGGGGCCCCATCTTGTAGGTCATGTTCCAATTTTGTATGTTTGGCATGACCTCTTTCATGGACTTCCCCTAAAGGGGTTGCCCTGTGAAACGACGCAAACTCGCGTCAGGTCTTAGCTCTTTCGGCCAGAGAGGCCGGCGGAGTCATGGAGGTTTCCGGAGTCATGGGATGATTTAGCCGGTACCCACCAAAATTACCCGGCCTGGTAAACTAACATAGCGAACTGGAAAATCCATGAAATAAATGGAGGTTTCTAGCTGGGAAAATCATCTGAAAATGGTCCATTTTCAATAGCTATGTTAAATTACCAGAGGGTATCCAAAATGAGACCAGTTTAGCATGGCTTTAGCCATGGGTTTGGGGGATCTCCCATTCTAAGAAACCTTCATATATACTAACCTAGTCTAACCTGCTTCTAAAAACATACACCCGGCCTTGAAAAACCTTGGAACACCGACTGGTCGCCAGGCTGTGCTCTTTCCCAAAGAGGTGATCGGTCGAGAGTTGGTGCTGCCCGCAGTCAGCTGATGTTTGTTTGGTGAAAAGGCACCATCCAACTACGATTATTTCATGTTATTTCACCATAAACCCGACAGTTATGACAGGAATAATCCCATCGTTGTGATTATTCATTGCTATTGTAATTCAGCCAACTTGGCTGTTGTAATTCATTGTTACTGTAATTCAACTATTGAATTGGGGTAAGTTTTGGGGCACCACCTTGGATGTTCAATGCATCCGTCCAATCATGTTATGGCAGCGGGGAAGCTCCAACTCCATGAAAAATGATGATGTGTTTATGTAAAAAGGCTGGGAATCCCTAAAGTTTCAACTAAACCCATGAAACCCATAATCTGCTCACAATGAATGGAAGGTTGGGATAGAGTCGGAGCACAAAATCGAGCGGGCCCCGAAGCGATTTCTTCAAGTTTTCTTGAGGCGACTCGTGATCTCACGCAGTGGCTGCAAAAACTGCAGGTGCGGTCGGGGAGCTGTACATGACCGGAATATGATTTTGACATAAGCCCACGTTTGAATGGCACGCCGTTTCTTGACATGTGTGTTGCTGCTATTCAGGGGACATGATATTTCATGCCATGGATTGAAATCAGTGTTTTCATAGTTTCTCCCTAAATACACCCGGTGGATCTCGAATTGACATGGCAAGTATATCATAGTATATCTCAATCATTTAAGATCAATTAACCTAACCATGTTGTTGAGTTTTTCCCAATGTGTGATATTAGACGTAAGTGCAATATAATATGCAGCCATGAACTGAATCTTCACAACTGGCCATGTAGATATTGCAAAGGAGTGTCGTCGAACGGTGGCAGGGTGATCATGGATGATCTCAATAACCTGTTTTTTTTTCAAGTCTGTACAATTATGGCCATTTATCAGTTATAAGTACTAACAAAACCCCATTTATAGAATGTATAATCCCATTGAAATAAGCAGTTATAACTGGTAGCCATGGCCATAACATGCCATAAGTGATAATATCATATATCAATATCACCAATATATAGGATGAATGATGGGTGATGACTTCAGGACTTCATTCATGTGTTTGGACAATGCCTGGGCTACCAAGGCTGCCATTCACGATGCTGCTGGCATCAAGGACCCTTGGAACGCGTCGGACGTGTCGGTGCCGTGCTGGGCCCTGCAGGGTCGACCTTGTCAGGTGCCCGACTGAACATCTTATATATTTGTGATATTGATATTATCATTATCATTATATTTGTTCAATCATTATAACTGGTGATATTATGCCCAATATACTTTCGATTGGTGCCCAACTGATGTATGTCCAGTTATCATATGCCCATATAATATCACCAACAGAAAGGATATATTGGGGTGCTACAGAATTCTGCAGAGTCTGGCAGGGTTTTTTTGGTTGTCTAGTTGAGCGTCTTGCGAAGGACCTTGATTCGCCCCGGGTGGCGTCTGGAAACTTGGGCCCGGGTGGCAACTTAGGATTTGGAAGGTCTGAAGTACAGAACGTCACACGTTGCTCAAGATATCTGATGGTTTTCTAGGATGTTCATGGAAATTCCATGATTGTCTACTGATTCCTTTGAGGAATTGAACATGGATTTTCTGTCTTTTGTTGGGAATGCAGATCACTTCTATAGTTCAAGCCCAGGCTGGACGCGGAAATTCACGCGGACAGCTTGCCCCCAGCTGAAGAGGAGCCATTTCTCCATGGAAAAGTAAAAACATCACCACATGCGTGTGTCTGAAAATGGGGCTACCCCCCAAAACACTATGCATGGGGGGTATAAACCATCAAAAATGGGGTGGTGGTTTATGACACTGTTTTACCCACATTATAGTCATAAAGTTGCCATCTTGGAATAGTTTCAAGGCTACCCTATTCAATGCGACCATGCGACCATGTTTGGACCCCGAAAAAAGGTGATTGGTGAGAATTATGGACATGAGCATGAGTCAGAGTCAGGTATAGCACCACCAAAAAAGGATAGAACGGTAAAATCCCACATAAAGGATGTAAATATAATGTAAATAATGTAATGATGCATTACTTTTCTGAGGATTGCTGTTCCCATCCACCATCCAGGCCCCCCGAAGGTCATGTGAACATTGGTCCGATGAACATCCACGAGCTAGTTCGATAGCATCAGCCATAGGATGCCAAGTTACCCGAACGAATTAACCTGCAGCACCTTGCAGGAGGAGTTTGATGGTTCGTTGCGTAACATTCTTATGATTATCGTTTTTGGTATATACAATGACAACATAATAAGTAATTCGGAATAAGAATGCTAATAACACAACCAAATCAAACAAACTAATGGATATGTTTCTTTGTTCCTATTCTTTTCTAGTACAAATAATGTCCTAAACCATCCGCGAATCGATTTGAGGAGCTGCAGCCTAAGGGCTTCTTCGGCCGTGCTTGGGACCAGCTCTTCGGGATCCTTAGCCTAGACCTCGGCAGCTTTCAACGATACCCTGATCCCTCCGGTGTGTCAAACGTGGCGATGTTGTGGAACAATCTGGATCTAAATGGAGGTGTTAAATCATTAAAAACATGAAAATCATTATAAATTATAATGGTATATCTGGATTATTATTTATTTTTTTTAATGAGCAAAACATACCCCGCAGTAATTCTGGAAGCACTGGAGGCAGTTGGATACCATTTGGTACCATGCGGTAAGATGACCATCTTTAACGGGCAATCATTGAACCAAGTGGGCCATTTACTTCATAGCAAACTCTTAGTCATTCCCAGCAGGTAAAGCCAACATTGCATAGGGATATAGCCAACATGTTTTAAACAAATCCGGGAAAACCACCTGGATGGCTCCAAATTGTCATCAGTTCAATGAGAAAACGCAGTGAACTCGCAAAAGAACAAACAGGATGTTTTAGATGCGCCCTGTCCAACAGTGGAAACCCTTGCTTTAACCATGAAACAAAAAAGGATTAACCAATAGTCCATTTTGAGGTTTGAAGAAATCCATATACCGATCAGCTGACATCTACCCGCATGTACCCATATATTATACAACTGTAGTCACATGTTCCCAGGAAGTGGCTCAAAGAACCTCCTATAAATGGTAAAAACCGCGGTTTGAAGTGTTTTGTGTTTCAGGGGTTTTTCGATTGGTGAAGGGTCGTAAAAAAATACTGAGTTTGTTTCATGTTTTGGATGGGGAGGTAACTGTTTTGACCAATTTTCTGCTGGATACCCGGCTGAAGTCGCCTCCTCGCCGTCGCAGGTTTTATAGAGGCAGGAATTGGTGGCTGCGGAGTCCGCCCAGTTTCCAGTCCCAAAGATCCCAAAGAAATGTTTTTTCCGCTACTTGTGGATTTGAACTCAGGGATCATCTCTGTAAAGAAATGAACTTGGTAAGTTTCATTTTGTTTGTGTGTTCTCGAAATTTCGCATGTTTTTCCACCTGCTGGGGAAGGTTAAGGAAACTCTTTCAGATTGACCACCAACCAGTTGTCCATTTCTCTTTACCTTTTCCAAGAAGAATCGCCATGTCTTTTTGTGACCTCCATACTACACGTCCACAGAGGTGATCTCATGCCATTGCAAGTGATACAGCTATGAGGTAACATATAGCAAATGCATGCAAATGATGGTATTGGAACATATGATATGTGTGTCATTCACCAAACAGTTAATAGTTCTCAAAGTTGATTATGACATATATATATATATAATTATATATATATATTGTATTTATATATATATACATACATATACATATATTACGATATTATGTCATGATTCTGAAATCACTACGTTTTATAAATCACCACGTCACATGAAGCCGCGCGATCCCACGGCTTCAAAGCGGCACCGCGCCAGTTGCCGAGCGACCCCACGGTCTGGATCTTCGGCCTGATGCTGGGGTGAGAAGCTGAGTTCGCATAGGGATCACTGCATTGGTTGAAGGGAAAATTCGCAGGAAAGCACCGGATTTCCCATGGGAAAATCAATTGAACCACAGGGAAAAATCGATGGAACATCCTATTTTTCCCGAGGGAAGAACAAGTTATGCAATTGATGTTGAAAAGGGAAAGATCGCAACAAACCCGAAAATAATCTGGATGATTTGGGCGTATCATGGATTGGAAACCTCCAGCTTGGGGGTACAAACATCGCAGTCCCACAGCAGGGCAGTTGAGGTGGCCAGTTGCATGGTTCAGTGGGTGATATCAGTGAGATCCATATTTACTGTAACTGGTTGGTGGCTTGGAACCATGGAATTTTATGACTTTCCATTCAGTAATTTCATCATCCCAACTGACGAAGTCATATTTTTCAGAGGGGTAGGCTCAAGCACCAACCAGGTAGACAAATCATCCCCATTTGTCAGTTTATTGTTGGTGATCTATCCCATTGGTGGAAGCCCTCCTTATTCATTTTGTTCTGGCTGCTTGCCTATTCCTCCTTGATTCACTGCGCACTGTTGGCGGAAAACTACGAGTTTGTTGATGTTTAGGTGAAGTAGATATTTCTAACTACTAACAGAATCAAATGTCAACTACATCTTCTAGTACATATTAATCAACACAGATATATGTAGATATCTTGCTTGCTTCTTATTGATGTCTATACATCAAATGCTTGGTGGTTTGACAGATGTTTTACTTTCCATCTTTGGGATGCCTCTGGCCCTCAGCCATCAAGAACATCTATATATCAGTGATATACTGCTTGGAGGTTTCAAACATTTGGATTATTTTCCATTTCATATATGGGATATATGGGATAATCCTTCCCATTGACTCATATTTTTCAGAGGGATTGAAACCAGAGCAACCAGTATAAGTGGAGCTTGAAGATCATCTATATAAATTGGTGGATTTGATCATTTGATCGATTTTCCAAATCACGTTTGATTTACAAATCAGTTGCAAAATACCACCAATTTGATGATTTGAAAAAAAAAAACGCATTTCCGCTTTGATGATTCTTCAAGCAAAGCCTCGTGATAGGTGGCCGCTGTTGCAAAATCTCTTCGCCCGGGGTCCTTGCGGTCCTTGGTTCGTTTAGGGAGTGATTTTCATACCCGGGGTTATTGGGGAATATGAACTAACCCATGGCCATGGTAGGGGGACTGGTTGAAAAACCAACTATATGTTGAAAAAAATTGTATTTTAGTGGCAAGAAAGTGTCAACTTTGGAGTCAGCATCCCCAATTCTGGTGATTTCAAGCTATCCAGCGGTTAGGAGGGTATAGGAGGGTGCTGTTGGGAGCTGTTGGGTCCAGAGCTTCCCAACAAAACATGGGGAACCAGTCATTGGATTGGTTTAAGGGAAAAATTACAGGAAACCAGGGTTTTTACCATAAAATATGGGGTTTTCCTGTAAATTTTCCCCTAAACCAATCCATTGAGGAACCAGTTGGAATCTCAAATTGAGTTTCCCAACCACCTGATGACGTCAAGTAGTTTGTATATGTTTGTATTGTCCACCATATGACTGGGATGATGGTCCCAGTATTTTGTTCAGGGGATGAAACCAGCAGCCAGAGGGCAATACTCGAAGGCTCACCAACACTGGCAATGGAAATTCTGCTTTGTTCGCGAACTATCCTCGTGAGCCCATCGAACTACAAGGGACCCCAAGACACATTGGACCCCAAAAGATACGGAGAGAGAACTACCCTCTGGTAATTTAACATAGCTATTGAAAATGGTCATTTATAGTGAGTTTTCCCAGTAAAAATGGTGATTTTTCATAGTTACGTTAGTTTACCAGAGGGTAAATCAGGGTTGTCTTTTCTGAGGTGTCAATGAGAGGGGCAAGGGTTGACGATAGGAGACTTCTTCGCAAGTCGGAGTGTTTCAACGGCCATGTGATGTTCATACACAAAATCAACCCTGGCGATCGCCCATCCCCGGGCCCTGTGGTTTTGCTCACCAACTTTTCAAAAATCCCGAGGACTTTGGTTGACAAAACACGCATCTCTTGCCAATAAAACATATAAAACCGCAGCTTTGTGCACTACCCCACCTGGTCAAAATGACACAGCTTGATCCCGCCTCCAGTTGTGTTGTGTTTTCCAGGCCGCCAGCGGCGGCGCGGCTCCACAGGTGGCCTTTGGGATGGCGCCTGGGACCTGGAAGACCTGGCGTTTTTCCGTTGAT